TCAAATAACCAAGTCAGGTGTGCTGCTGCTCTGTTGGAACAAAAACCTGCATCTAGAGCGGGCCTTTGTTCCCCCCCCCGGTCTAAGTTGTTTGGTATGGAGCCTTAGGCCAAGCTTGCTTTCTTTTGGTTTGTTATTTTCTGCTTTAGATCACTTTTGAACGGAAACTCTTCGCTACATGGTCTTTCAGAAGATGTGTTGTCTTTCAAGTGTTAGATATGGTTTTCTTTCCATGCAGCTTCAGATGGACAGTGTCTTCCTGTCTCCGGGCTAAACCACAAACTTGCAGAAATCTACACGTAGTAGGTCACACCTTTTGTACCACTGTTTCCTGTTACGTATGTAACAAACAAGTTTTTTTTTAGTCCTATCTTTTGTAATCATTTCTCTGCATATTGTGTACAGCTCCATAAGGCTGCAAATTATTTTAAAAGTTCCAACATTAGCAAACATAAACGTGCATGTGTGGTAAAGACAGTGTGCATCTGGGGTTAGTATGCACAAGACACAGAAAGAGAGAGAGCAAGAGAGAGAGAGCACACACACTGGTGGTGTGACAACTTCACAGACATCATATCTTCACCTTAGCTCTTACCATAACCTTAACCATTAAGAATGTTTGCCTAATCTTATTTATTACCCTTATTAATTTGTACCCTACCTTAATCTTAAACCTCAGAATATTCTCTTTATTCTTTATTCTCCATATTCTATTTCCAAGAACCTGAAAATGTCCCCGCAAATGTCCCCCCTCATCCCCCCCGGGTCGTGGGGTCAGCAGTTGCCTTCCTGCGGGTGGTGAGTCCACTGGAAGGTACCAACTGCCCTAACTGGAATTCGATCTTGCCCAGGAGGTGAACCCTGGGGTTCCACACCAATGACAGAGACATTGACTCTGGGCCAAAGCGCGACATGCTTATACTATCCATCCATCCGTCCGCTTTCATCCGCTTATCCATTACTGGGTCACGGGGGCAGTGGTCTCTATGATCACCACCCAAATCACACTGCACCGTACCAACCCCCCTGAACCTTCCTGCGGATGGTGAGTCCACTGGAAGGTGCTTATACTACTCAATACTTATTACTTAAGATGTGTAAGATGGCGCTGATGCTGAAATGATCATTTAATGTATCCTATGGATACATGCAATCCTAAAACGGCAACTGGAGGCAGTTCACTCGTTTATTCAAGGGACGAGTTGCTGGCTCTGAGGACTAGTAAACATGGAACACGACACAACATAGCTCAAAACCACCTGAGCAAGAGGAGGTACCGAGGATGCAAAGCTGGGGCTAAATTAAAGTCAAAGATGGTGGAATCGTTTCCCTCCGTTATCAGGGGTAACGTAAACTTTCTTTCCAACAAGATGGACAAGCTGTCACACTTACTGATAACGTATCTGATGTTAATGTGGACCTGCGATGGTTTACGACAGTGAGAGCCGACAGGGACACAAAGGTATGTGGAAAAAGCAAAAGGGGGGGACTCATCATGTTTGTTTAACATGGGTGTAACCCTAGACATGTCTCCGTAAAGAAAGCTTTATGTTACCCAGACTTTGAGCTATTAGCCGCTAGCCTCAGGCCATACTATCTACCGAGGGAGTTTAGTCAGTTTAGTAATCTCCCTCTGTATTTACATCCCTCTGAGAGCTGTAGCAGCCACTGCCTGTGAGAAAATTCGCACTGTCACAGCAGGGCTGCGGACACATCACCCTGAGGCTTTCGTCCTGATTTCTGGTGATTTTAATCACATCACTCTGGATTCTACATTGGCTGACTTCCAACAGGTGGTGGATTGCCCCACAAGAAGTAACAGGACAATTGACCTTCTGACTACACCCCTTTGGTCCAAAGGCAGCCAATCGTCAAACGCTCCATCAGAAGAGAATCCTGAAGCAGGGTACAAACTGAGAGACTGCCTTGACACCACAGACTGGGATGTACTACGGAGTCCAGTTGATGAGTACATGACGGTAGTTACCCACTGCCTAACGGATTATCTTAATTTCTGTCTGGATGTGGTTTCCCTCCCTTAGCTTCCCAAGTGTAACTCCCCTATTAGTGCTAATAACAATGGAAACAAACAAACATATATAAGGATTCCTGTGATATAAAATAAAATGTGGTTTTAATTATGAGTTCTTATCTTTGAGACAGACTATACAGTAGCAGCTAATGGAGCCATGTGCGGACTGTACCGTACCTTACACGTACACTACGTAACTTACATGAACTTAGACTTAACTCCGGATGCTCGTATCTTGAGGTTCCACTGTATATAAGGCCTCAAAATGGTACAGATCTCCCTCTTACTGGTCCTTGGTGAGGTGGTGGGCATTGGTTCATGTGCTGGGTTCCTCTGTTCTGTTCATTTGTTTGTTAGTTTTGCCCTCCTTGTCTATTTCCTGTTTGTTTGGACCAACTTTCTCTTTTGTTTGGCCTAGGTTTCTCTATCCAGGGGTACAAGTCCTCAGCTTCAGTTGTCAGCCCCTAAGTTTCTTTCCTTCCTAAGTTTTGTCCATTTCCCTTCCCTTGTTAAAAACCTCAACGCTATACATACTGTACATGCATATATAACAACATCACCAAGAAGAAGACCTGTCTGTGTGTTGGTTGTCTATCAGCCCACAGAAGGTGTATTTTGTGAAATCCATCGTTTAACTGATTTGTGCACCATGAGACTAAATTTAATGCCATGCTTGAAATCTTTGTGACCAAAAAATAATTATAAAAATTAAATCAGCGTAATAAAATTAATGAAATAATTATAAAAATTAAATCAGCGTAGCATGTGTTTTTTTCTTGGTGCGCCAGAAAAAAAAATAAATAAAAAAGATTTTCCCTTTGCATTCAACTTGTTTTTTCTGCTCCAAAGATGCTGTCTGTTTCACACGGTCTTGTGGTCACAATGAAGATGCTGATGTTACACAATGGCTCGTAACAGAGACAGAAATCAAGTTTCCACTGGTTGAACATTTGTGTCTGTGTCTCTCACCAACCTTCAGCACAGTGTACGAGGGGAGCGGTGTTTTTTATTGTGAAACCATGTTTGAAGTTCAGAGTTCTGTGTAGACTTCAAGGTCGTTGTCGCCATTACACACAGACAAGCTGCATGACAACAGTTACACCAGACAAGATACTGTTTGAAAAATAACGTAAACGCGTCACACGCCTTTGTCTATTGCCATCAGAAAGATGTTATTATATTACAAAACCTTTCACATATTTACTTCACTACTTCAAATAAATGTCATATTTACAAATCTTTTGCCTTATTATGTTGACATAAAATGGAAAGTTGAACTACAACAAGTTTTTTTATTAACTAAAAATCTTTGTGGAAGAAGCTAAATTTTGTTGTTGACCCAACTACAATTTTAAGGCACTACTTTTTAAGCGAAAGCCTCAAATTTTACATGGCAGAGCACTAAGAAGACACTTCTACTTTTGTGGAATTATTTTTACGCTCACAATTAAAAACTAAGCGTATTAATGGTTGCACATGGACAATGGTGACGCTTAGCTTTTTTCAGATTTCCTTTTGAATGATGCTTCACACATGTTTTAAAAAAAGTCAGTCCTGGAGAAATAGTTGTGTAAGAACATACACCTGATGTTCTCATATAGAATCCAAAGTCTTTTTTTTTTCTTTTTTCTTTTTGAAAATAAATGGGAACCTGGACCGTTTGAAAAAGTTCCATTCCATCTGTTGGTGTATCTCAGGATCCTGGCCCCGCTAATTACCAATGTATATATTTTTTCTCATTTTTATTGAGACCTGTCTTTCCTTCCTGAAATTTTACTATTTTCTTTTTTAAATTTCCATGCTGATTCATTTTTTATTATTTTTTTCCCAGGACAGAGGAGCCTCCTGGAATTATTTCTTCTATTTTGTCTCTTTTTGGTTTGTAATTCTTAGGTGTGTTGTTAGAATTTCTAGATGTGTTTGTGATGAAAAAATTTGAAGTTGATGTGACTTTTTTGAAGTTGAAAAAAGTCACATTTTTAATAAACAGTCAAATCAGCGATACATCTTGAATTCTGTTGTTGTAGTTTTAGTTACCAACTATTCTGCTCTATGTCAATTTGCAGAAGTATTTGCCATGTCATCATTTTTGACATTCACTCTGGAGTACACACAGGCAGTCTCCATGTCGTTGACCTGCTGACTCTGTTCAAAGTTCCTTTGCAGATTTATTGCACAATAAACAGAGTCTTTGTCCTGGATCTGTCAAAGGCAACAAAGAAATGTCATGAACTACTTGGTAGTTTACAATTACACATTTTTGACTTGTTCAGTTGAATTTCACCAACCTCTGTGTCTGATCTTGTCGAACAGGAGCGAGTTCCTGCAAAAAACGGAAAAAACTATATAATGTAATAGTATGTTGCAGAAATATAGGTCTAACTGTTGTTTTTAAAAAACAAACAAACAAAAAAACACCTACCTTTGCAAACAGAGCAGAGTTTTTTTGTCCACCTGTACATCAGTGAAGTCATGAGGACCAGCACGTTCATAGAGATGGCAAAGGCTATGCTCAGGCAGTACACAGCGACGCGGGAGGCCTCAAAGGAATGTTCTACAAGTAAAACAGAACAGAAAACAAAGTCTCACATTGTCACATACTACAAACCCAAATGGTTAATGAACATATGGCCCAGGGCCCAAAACCGGCACACTGCGGTATTCAATCCGACCCGCTTGATGAATTTTGAAAGTAAAAAAAATACACAAAGACTTCACATTCAGGATATATAATAATAAATATCTAATATACGTGTACTTGTTTGCATGAAAACACATGGACATCTTATTAGGCTGTATGTGGCCCGTGAACACAAAATGAGTTTGACACCCTTCATTTAGATGCATGTACTTCCGCAGCATGATGAGTATTATGATGAATATACAAGTTACACAGGAAGTAAAACGGTTGCATAATGTTGCTTAGCGCTTTATATTATATGCATAAAAAAGCTGAATACATTAAAGCCCTACCACGAATAAGTACTCTGGTGCCATCCCCATAGGTGATCTCTTGGCAGGATGTCATGACACAGTAGTATGTCCCAGCATCCGTGGAGTTCATTGACTGCTTCTCAAAATGTGTAGAGCAGTTTTGTTTGTGACTTTGTGCTTCAGAGAGGCCTGTACATTGTCCAGCACTGGGATATGTGGTGATGAGCTCTGATGCACCGAGTTTGATCCAGTAGAATCTTTGCTCCTCTGCACATGGTGAGTCAGTGTAGACGGTGCAGCTCAACTTCAGAGAGTCCCCTGGTTGAAGAAGCTCCTCTGTCGGCTGCAGCACTTCAGCTCGGGCGTTGGACAGTGACGTTCGCACATCAAGGAAAGCCCCTTGTCCAAATTGAACTGCATTAAAATCCAACACCCCGCAGAAATAGGTCCCCGAATCTGACAGGTGGAGCTCCTTGATGGTGAGGTGGTTGGTGCTTTCTTGACCATGAGAAAGAGCAATGAATCTTTTTCCCAAGCTCTCCGAGACCTCCACTTTGGAGTTTCCCTTCATTCGAGTAAAAATCAACTCAAGCTTGCCTCCCACGCTCTGCCGGTACCAAGATAAATAAGTCACATCCCCAAGACAGGTGCAATGTAACATCACATTCTTCCCAACTTCAGCTGAGATGACCCCAGTGTCCTGCACTATCCTCAAGTTCTTTTCAGCATCAGTTTGTATCTCACCTGAAGCAAAGAGAAAATCAAATTAAGACTGTTTACATTTAACTATTTGTGATATTTAAGTATTTTCTAATAACTCTTAGGACTATAGTACATAAACCCCCAAATACTCACATAAATCACAGAGTAGCAAAAAAAGAAAGAAAAGTGCCGTCATCTCTGCAGCTCTGCTCTGTATTCTGTGTTTAATGATGCACTCATGTCTTATAGAGACGAAGGCTGCTGGTGATTGGCTAAGCTCTCTCAGTGCAAGACAAGCATGGTTTCATATTGGGGTTGATTGTGCCCTTTTACTTACAATGTTTTTACATCCTGAAGACGTACAATACGCGTGGTCTTTCGTGCATCGCTGACATAAAGGAAACATATTTCTGAAAAACAGAATGTTCAAAAAAAAAAAAAAAGAAAGCAAAATGAGGTTACAACATGCAAACCATGTAGTCCGGTTTGATTTTAAAGAATGCAGCTATCCGCTAGCACCTAGCAACATCTGCTATAAGGCTGCTAAGTCAGGCTGGAATATTACATTGACAAGCAAGGAGCAGAACAGAATGCATGTAAGTTGTTTTAGTTTTGGCTGTAGTCAGATTTTAGCCCCCCCCTCTCCCCCCAGTTTTGTGTTATGGTTACCATGATGTGCCACTGTGAAGTGGTGATGGGGCACAGTGGTTGATGATGATCATCTTTGATTCACTGAGCCTGGACAATGTTCGAATAGCTGGAAATGGTCACAATCTGGTCATCACCATTATTTTGTAGTAGTGGTTGTAGTAATAAAACTTTTAATTATATTATTATTAAGAATCATTGTTGTTAATATTAAAATAATTATGAATTTCATTATAAGAATACTTTTTATTTTTCTATGCAGATATACCTTTCTATGCTGTTTTTTCTTTCTCAAATTACTACATTGAATTACCGTTACCCAAATTACCCCATTTAACTGCACCATTTGAAATAGAAACCTGTGTGTGTTACAAGTAGACTGTAAGATTTTGTGGTTACTCCTATAGAGGAACTTGTATGACACAGTCACATTCTTGCTTGTCGTTTTTTTCTGTGAATATAAATGTTTATTTCAAAATTAAAATCAGTTTCTACCATCCTTATCCCTGTTGTTGTCCTGTTTAAATTAGGCGACACGCGTCTTATAAACTAAACTTCATGGGCTTTTTACTTTTTTTTTTTAACTGCTTGTTTTATGATGATAACGTGTTCGGATTACAACTGAGCTGTGTTGAGTGTGTGCAGTCTGTGAAATAATACACGGTGTTTTGTTGCACCCTATCGACCTTAGGCGAAACTGCACCTAACTGAAAAGGGCCCAGGATCAGATAACACATCACATAATGACACACAAGTCAAGTGCAGTTAACGGTGATACATGTTAGAGAGGATGTTTGAACCTGAGGTCATCTTGACGTAGACATTACTGCAGACGTTATCTTCCTCTGGGCTTTTCCTCTGCAGAGAGGTGTAGGCCAGACGGGGTCACCAGTCCATCACAGGACCAGGTTTAGGCCAACTCTCCTGATCCTAGATGTCTCATACTGTGGGAAGAAGCTTCCATACCGAGTGTTCAATGACAGGCATCTCCTCCTGAAGAGCATGATTTACAGGCATCTACAGTATTGTGCAATAAATATGCTGTATGTATACTACAGTATATTCTATCACGCCTTTTACATATACTTTATATATATGGAAGTGAATTATTTGTCACTTGACGTTGCCATTCTCAGAGCACCTCAGTTGCAACGAGGCAGTTTTTGGACTTGAACCTGAAACCTTCCAAAGCCAAGTCTGCTTCCTTAACCATCAAGCCTATATAGTATAATAAGATAAACTGTGGATGGATTATATATATATATACATTTATTCACATATTAATATATTTAAGTCTATCTTAGGGGTTGCCACAGCGAATCATTAATATTAATATTAAGTCTATCTATCTATATCTATATTCATATTTATACAAATGTATGGTATTTTGTGTTGCACAACTCTCTTCCTCTTTCTCTCTCACACGCACACTCACTACACCAGATTAGATTGCTTTAGAGATTAATCTGGATATATAAGGAAACACAACGCTTTTGTCTTTAGTGACTCCTTATCTTCAAGAACCCAGTTTTTGGGTGGTTCTTCCTTAATAATCTTTCCGGCTAATGAGGGTGGTAAAACTGAACTTCTTCTTTCGTTCTCGACTTCTTCTGGTGAACTGCGTTTCTTAATCATTATCGACTGAAGCTTGCGCCGTACATTTTAGTACCATAATAAAGAGCTTTTTGGCATCTTACAAAGAGGTGAGTACATTATTTTGTTTTCTTTGACGTGGGCCCTGATTGTACCTATTTAGTTTAAGACTTAAAGTAAAGTCAGCATTACAATTGATTTTCTGCCTAACAGAAATTGTAAAACATATTTTCTCAATTTGGCTTTAAGAAATGTTAATTATTTAAAGTATAACTAAAAATGAAATAAAATGCATCGTGATACACATTCTAAAAATGCAGCCCTAATAATAAATGATTTACATTAACTAATAACATTTTTTGATGAGGCAAGTGACAGCTGTGCGTTATTTACATTCGAGAAAATACCAGCACAGGAAGGATGTGGTCAATGTAAAAAGATGAAAATTTTAAGCTATTGATATTTGATAAGTTGATCATTTTTAGCTGAAATGCATCTTTGGTGCAGTTTTATTTTTTGCAGGACATTCATTTTTATATGTATTTGACATGATCACTTTCTTTTATGATTTGTGATTTATTTACTTTTTTCAATTGAAACAGACACTTTTCACATTTCAAAATCTCTAATCTTTGTTGCAGATCCCTGCCTTGAAGCAAGGCAAAGCAAAGCCCCAGATACAAATCTTTTGCAACCAAGATGGCAGAATGTTTTTTCAGCCTGACGTTTAATCAAAGCATTAGCCTGCCAAATAAAACGGTTGCAACCAGCTCTTCAGGGATTTTGGCCATCACCCTTCATGGCTTGTTCTCCACAATTGGCATCATAGAAAATCTCCTCATCCTTGGTGTGGTGGGTTTCCGTGTCCGCCGCACCGTCATTAGCATCTGGATCTTGAACCTTTCTGCGTCCGACCTGCTCGCCACATCTTCCCTTCCGTTCTTTACCCTCTACATGGCAAAGGGCAACACCTGGACGCTGGGCACAACATTCTGCCGTATCTACTCCTCCATCTTTTTTCTCAACATGTTTGTCAGTGGCTTCCTGCTGGCGGCCATTTCGTTGGATCGCTGCCTAGTGGTAATGAAACCCGTCTGGGCCCAAAACTACAGGAACATCCAACTGGTGGGGAAGATCTGCATTCTGATTTGGGCTCTGGCCATCATCTGCACCATTCCGTTCTATGTCTTCCGCGACACCATTCAACATCCCAGTGGCACGATTATGTGTTACTACAGCTATGCTCGATTTCCCCCCAGTGGGCCATATGACCTACGGACTTTGTGTAAGCAGCGTAAGGAGGCCTTAGCGTTCATGAAACTGGTCTTGGCCTTTCTGATTCCTCTACTGATTATTATCTTCAGCTACATTGTTGTCAGTTATCATTTATCACGCAGGGGATGCCGACGATCCTATCGGTTTGTTCGACTGGTAGTTTCTGTAGTGGTGACTTTTATCCTCTGTTGGGCTCCCTACCACCTCTTCATCATCATGGAGGTGACGGCTCCTAGCGGGAGCTCTGTGGGGAAGTTTGCTAGCAAAGGAATGAGAATTGCCGCCACCATCGGCTTCTTAAACAGCATCCTCAACCCCATTCTGTATGTGTTCAGCTGCCCCGACTTGTGCCGTAAGATTAAACATTCGCTCAGTGCGGTGATGGAGAGTGTTCTGGCAGAGGATCTGGGAGAGCTAACCCGTCGACGCAGCACAGCCTGCAGCTCCTTCAGTACTAGAGACGTTGCGCTCCAGCCAAAGACTTACACTGAAACGCTGAGCCTAAAATTAGGGGATGAGAATGATGGGAGCACGACTAATTCTGATCTTCACTGACCAAACACCTGCCAGTCCGTTTGTGATTGATCCTTTCTACAGAAGAACTAGCTTCAGTGTGGAAAACAAACGTCCACTCGTATTACGCTTAAGTTTGATGTTTGTTTTTGATAATGATAAATGCATTCATCTTTTAATTTCTCCTTATTCTTACCACATTCTTTACAGCACAGATACTTACTGTATATTTTCTATTTTTATGATTTCCTTGAACCAAAAACTAGTTCCTGTTAAACTTATACCAAGTTAGAGCATACAGTATACAGCATTTGCATTACAATTTCTCTCCCCTTTATTTTATATACAATTTTGATTTTCTGCTGTAAAATGCAGTACATTTTCTGCTGTTCTTCTGAGAATTTTTGCTTGACAGAGATGCAAATAGGCTTGTTTGCACTGCTTTTGGACACTTCCTTTGTCTTTGCGATGAGGAAGTGTCAGGTCCTGTGTTTGTCTCACCAGCATCAAGTGTCCCTGATATGATCTTTTCTATTTTTCAACGATAAATACCACAAAAAAGTTTTGTACATCTATCAACTTTTCATAACTAGTTTTTTTTGCAGAACTGCATAAAGCAGTATATAAAAGAAGTAAGATTATATTTTATTCTTTCATAATAGCAGAAATGCATAAAGCAGTATATAAAAGAAGTAATGTGTGTTTGTTTGCAACGGACAGAGGTCCAGACAGGTATTTAAAACAAGAAACTATATCTATTGTCACGTGCCATGTTTTTATTCATATACTCAGCATGCAGTGTTGAGATTGTTAAAATAAATACAATAATAATAATAATTAGCATTATTATTATTATTATTATTATTATTATTGTAAGACAGTAGTGTTTAAGTTTATCATGTTCAGCACAAATCTGCTCCTGTTGTTGTCTTAATGTAAAACCTGGATAAAATAAAAAGCAACACGCAAATATTGAATAATTTACTGACTCTGCATTCTACATGGGCCTTGCATCTACATTTCCACCAGGTGGCGGTGGTGCTAAGATTCAAATGGTCACAGTGAAGTTACATTACAAGAAGATTGATTTGTCCAGTTTCACTGTCTGCCTGTGCACTGGGTCGAGGCCTGGCACTAAGGGTCATCTTCATGCGGCCGTGCTGCCTCCTTGCCAAACAGGGCAAGGAGCGCTGCAGCTCCAGGCGAGCGTCAGAGCAGAGGAAGAAGTAAAAAAGAGGATCCAGCAAAGTGTTAAGGCTGGTCAGACCGTAGCACAGGCGATAGATGAGGAAAATGGAACGCTCCAGTCCGCATGGCTCCTCGGACAGCAGCAGGGACATAAACCTGTATCCACCCACGAGGTGATAGGGCCCAAAGATGACGATGAAGTTGACTGTAATGACTACCAGGATGCCCACAATCTTGTGACGCTCGTGATTGGAGAGGGAGGGGGAGCGTTGAAGCGTCAGCCCAATGTGGGCTGAGGTGTAGCTGTGAGGGGAACAACATATGAAACATTATCACCTCTGCACATAATAGACAGTAGAAAATAGCTCAATATTTTTTTATGTCTACTCTGATCTGATATATTGACTATTTTTTTCCAGGCCTTATGACGATTAAAGTTTTGCATTTGAATTATGTTTGTGAGGTCTATTAGTTCCTTGGTCCTGCTGTTGCCTCTGTGGTGAAATCAGTGTCATCACACTCACCTGTGGTATTGGTCATTAGTCTCACTCGTATCACCTGGTAACCTTTGTATATATACCTCTCTCCCTCACTTTGTCCTTGTTGGATCAGTGTGCTGTTGTGTTCTGTTTGTGTGTTGCTAGTTGGTCATGTTTTGAAGAAGTCCATGCCTTGCTGCAGTCCCTGCCTGGTAGTTTTTTTCCCTTGTCCTGTTTTGTTAATTCGCACATTTTATAATAAACCTGCTGCTCCTGTTAACCCCACTGTTCTGGGCCAGTTAGATGCAAAACTAACATAGTTTTGAGTATGTATAGAGACTGAAGAGAAAAGATGATAAAAAGCATAGGAAAACTTTCAAAACAATCAAGATGATCCTTAAGATGGTCCTCCATGCAAATGCTAGCTAGGCTTAAGATGGTAACAAATTTATTATCTAGCACAGTGGTTCTCAAACTGTGGTATGGGGGGGATTCATATTTTCACATTTACATTTTCAATTGAATAAATCTGAAACATACCCCGAACAATTAATACATTTAGAAAAAATGTGAAAAATATGAAAGTATTTTTATCTATTTACTGTTTTTTTTTTTTTAACAATTAATACATTTAGAAAAAATGTGAAAAATATGAAAGTATTTTTATCTATTTACTGGTTTTTTTTTTTTTGCTGCAATGCAACTCTGTTGCATACGTAAGCACAGGCAGCATGGGATCACTTGCAAGCTAAACGTGGAACAAGCAGGGAGATTCTAATGTTGGTCATCATGGTGGTACTCAGACCTCAATGTTTTCTCAGCTGGTACAGAGGAGAAAAACGTGGAGAACCACTGATCTGGCATATCTGTAAAAGTAGGACATACTGACTGGACTCACCCGAGAATGGTACATGGTAGCAGAAAACCAAGAACCACGGTGGTGATCATGAAAAGTGCATATCCCGGACTGACAGGATACTGCTCCAGGCACAAAAGTCTGTCCGAGTCAAACACCGTTGGGAGCAGCCCGCTCAGGCAGAACAGGAAGGTGAGGATCCAGACGACCACGCCTGAAACTGCTGCCACCCTGACAGTCCGGACCCTGCGGCTGCTCAGTGGGTGCACGATTGCCAAGCAGCGGTCCAGCGCTATCAGGCAAAGGAACATGACGCTTGCGTAGACATTTACATAAAATACATAGCCAACCAGCTCACAGGTCAACTGGCCATAAGGCCAGCGATGGCCTCCCTGCAGGTAAAGCATCCACAGTGGCAGGGTGAGCAGTTGGAGGAGATCCGACAGCAGGAGATTGAGGATGTATACAAGCTGGCAGCTTCCGCCACCTGAGCGACCCAGTTGATAGAGTCCCCACAGGGACAGAAGGTTGCTGGGCAGGCCCAAAGAGAAGATCAGGCCATAGATACAAGTCAGGCCGAAAGTGTCCGTGTCCAAGGGGAGATTACAGCTGTCATTAGACATCTCTCTGTCGACCAAGTACCTGACATTAAAAAAGGGGGGAATCAGCTCTTATATGTGTGCCAATGAGCAAAAAAGGAGGGGTTATTGTCCATCCATTTACACTCTAAGAGATTTCCCATTATGCAATGTATGCAAGCACATTTTCCCATAGGGAAGCTTGGTGGCCAAATGATGTTCTGTCAATCAACCAGTCCAGGCAGCATCTTAGATCCATTGGGAGGAAACAGACACCTGCAAAAAATTAATATGAATAGCTTAATGGATGCACAAGAAATTGAATTACAACAAAGACCACTGCTTTTTTACTTACCCATCTACACTGAGGGACGGTCTGTGTTTAACTGCAGACTGGCCCTGCAGCTTGGTGGAACACTTTGTCTAGACCAAGCCTTGTCCTCACTGTAATCATTTCCTCCACAGGAAAGTCACTTCTTTAGCTTTAAAAGCAACTTCCTGAAGCAGGATAACGCCTTTCTGTTCAGAACAAAAACACACTCTGCATCTTTCTCCAGGCCTCCCTCACTTTTGGAAATCAACTGTAAACCATAACATTGGCGTTGGTCCTGTTTCAGTCAACCTTCACTACATGTCCACTTTAAACATCAATACTGTCTATAAATTGATAATGTGCAGATGTAGTGTTTGGGTGTTTATGGTATATGAAATGACCTTTCTTTTACCCTTTCTTATCTCACCTGCATAATATGCACAAATATTCTCGGGAGTGGACGTATTGTGTGGACACAATGTGTGCGTGTGTGTATGTGTGTGTGTGAAATCAGTCCATTGCATAAAATTATCATCCAGGAAAGTTCTTGACAACCCCACTGGTAGACTAGCTCCCACCCTGGTTTTCACTAAAAATAATACAATATTGCACCTTTACGAATGAGATGACTCAGCACATACACGTCTTTCCAAATTTACACTTGATTGTACAGTGGAACCTTGGTTTTCAAACTTAATTTATTTGTGAACTGAAAAGTTTGAGGCTGAAACAATTTTTCCAACAGGAATGTAAAATGGATGAATCTGTTCCTGGACCCTGGATGATTGCTTATTCAAACTTTTCAACAGTATTTTGTGTACAAGTTCATACAAAAAACCAATGAAAAAATTAGTTCTAACAAAAAACGGAAACACAACTGAATAAAGAATAAAACTATAAATAGGAAAGGCAATTTCATTCATCCTTACTGGAGCTGAGGAGTTGTGATTGCAAAATGTTCACTTTGCTTTCTCACTAATTATTGTTCCCTAAATATTGTCGCCGGGCAACTCCTTTTTGTTGATCTAAATCAGTAGCAAATGTCCAACTTTTTCTAATGTCTGAGATCTTTGCTTAGTGATCACAGTCACTCCATTGGCAACCTTAGCTTCTTTTATTGCTTCTACTAAACCCAGATCTGAAACACGAGCGTCGTTCTCATGCTTCCCTATAATCTTTCTTCACTTCTATTGCTGTTCCCACTATATCCCTTTCAAATCTATCCAATCTCAGAGTTACCATGTAACTCTCCTATGCCGTGATACACACAACCTATGTACTACTGAACCCTCACTGCTACTGTGGTAGTACTTAGTGGTTAAGGAAGCGGACTTGGGTCGCACACACTGCTCCCCGGGCGCTCAAAGCTGTTCACTTTGGTGATGGGTTAAATGCAGAGGTCACATTTTGTTGTGTGCAGTGGTGTGTGTCACAATGACAAGGAGTCCACTTTCCTTCCCTTTCCTTCCTGTGTATTTTGTGTGCAAACTTTAAACGATAGTTAGGTACACATTATGTGAACATGGGGAACATATGGAAGTCCCTGCTCTGTCTCTGATGTCTCTTATGGACAACTGCCTTTAATAGTGGGAATGCCTAAGAGAGACAGAGAGACAGATTTCTTAATTGAATGTAAAACCTGAACACAGATAAAAGAATACAAATGGAAAGTCAAGTAGTTGGGATACTTTTATGACAAATCAAACTAAATGACTGAATATTAAATATTATGGCCTACATTGAAAAAAAGTATTGTAAAATTGTGTGGCTACACAGTGGGCATGGGTACATTGTGTGGGCAACATATGGTTCCCAAATTATTTCTTCTTCTTTCATCTTCCTCCCGAACCTCCTGCAGCATGCATGTACAGTACAGTATAGAAGTAGCAGTACTAGGGTACTTAGAAGTAGAGTAGCAGAGTTTGCTTGACACTACTGGCTACAAATTTGCGGATTATTTATGAACACGACTCTAAACCAAATTCCTAATGATTTGCATCTATCTTACATTTGTTTACATCTTTCTAAAGGTTAAAAAGTGATGGTGTGAATAGTTAGTGATTAAATCTCATTGAATTAACTTGGTTTTGCAAAAATGCAGGAAATGGCTGGACGTCTTTATTGGTTATTCTTCTTTCATCTTCCTACTGAACCTTCTGCAGCATATAAGTCTACAGGTGAAGACTGCAGTCCACATGAAGGCCACTATGATGGTCATTAGTACAAGAGCAACATCCAGGCTGTAGTAGATGTACCACGGCAGAGTGGAGCCTACTGACTGCAGATGGGCAGCTCCTTTGTTCCTGATGACATATTCAATCCAAAAGATAGCAGTGTCCATTGGAGACATAGGTCGGTTACGGTGTAGCTGGGAGAGGAGCTGGATGTTTCTTCTGTAGGAAGGATTGCTTAAGACGTCCTTTAAGGCTTCTAGAAAGTTTTCTTTGGTGAGAAACCCAGCCTCCAACATCCGAGCTGCCCCACGCACCTTTAAACGTTCCACATTGTCAAATTGGTCAAAAAGGAGTGGCAGGCCCAGGACAGGAACACCATGGTAGATGGCTTCATACATGCCATTGGTGCCTCCGTGGGCAACAAACGCCCGAGTCTTTGGATGTCCTAGAAGGTCGTTCTGAGGCATCCAATCAACCAAGAGGGTGTTGTTCCCCAAAGATGAAGGCCTTTCTCCTGTAAACCTCCACACTACCTTCTGAGGGAGTTCAGCAAAAGCTGCAGCAATGGCCTCGGTGGTGTCCCGAGGAAGGCCGTGCACGAATGTGCCCAGAGACATGACCACCACACCATGGTCTCCAGAGCTCTGCATGAAGTCCTCTAGCTCAGTGGGGAGGTGTTTAGCCCTTTGCGCTTGGAACCCTCCTATATAAACTACATTGGGCATAGTGGGTCGAGGGAACTCAAATACAAAGTCCGTCCTAATTAGCCAGATATCTGCCCTCTGCTGGAGGGACAACAGATCAGTGCCAGGAGGAAAGTGACGCTGGAGCAGGTCTGAATAGTAAGGGTTAATGATGAAGTGTAGAGTCACAGCGTTGTAGAGATAATGTAGCATATTCTTGATTCTGTCCTGAAAACCCATGTTATCATTGAGTTCACTACCGGGCACAGGGACGTAGGAGACAGGAGAGGGCGCTATACTAAAGTGGCCCTCACCAACGTTAATCCAACGAACGTTATAAACCATCGGCAGCTTCAGGTAACTCCCTAGGAGGACTCCAAGATTTAGAGCGGGGTCTGTTAGCATGAGGTCAAAGTGGACGTCCTGCATCTTTTTAATGAACACAGGATCGTCCAACATTAAAGCCGCCGCTCTGGCCAGGATCCTATGACCATTTTCTAAGAGAGCTGTGAGTAAACGTTGTTGGCAAAAGGTACGTAAGAAGGTCAGTGACCTGTGGCATTCAAAAACATCATGCAGCATTACAGTGTACTGGTTTTTATCTGATTCGTCCTCCAGCATGCTCACATTAACCGCAGTGTAAAAAGTAGAAGTACTGGGAATGTACCAGCTCTTGGAAGAGCGCAGCACAGTGATGTTGTGGCCTCTGGAGTGCAGCTCCTGCAGAATCACCTTCATGTTGACCCAGTGGCTGCCGTCAACCGGCACCACCAGGATGTTGCTGCTGCTGCAACATGTAGGTTTAAGCAGCAGGAAGATGAGGGCTACCAGGGTTATTTGGAGTGCAGGAGTCATGACCTGGGAAAGATACAAATGTAATATTTTAGTGATTACCGTGAACCTTGATATAATACTTCCCTGTGGCTTTGTAGGGTCCTTAACTGTATTCTTAAATGTTTGAAAACCTTAAGTGTTTGTTGGGATATTGGACAGTTATTGCCAAAAGGTTTTGGAAACTTTTGGTAATGTTGATTTTTCTTGATTTGTCACCCTTAATCATGATTGGTATTGATCACAATGGATATGATAATCAATTAATCATGATTTATTTTGATCTCAATTAATTACGAGTAATCACAATGAATCCAGAGCTTCTTTGTGATAAATCAGATTAAATGTTTTAATTATTTGACAGTCCTGGTTGTTATAAGTGCTTTATCATGTATTGTTATAGATAGATAGATCGATAAAGATAGATAAAGATAGATAGATACCAAGGTGAAATTAAGAAAATACAATATGAATACAAACTTATACTGTATGCTATATCGTAAATGTGTGTTGATGTAATGGTGTGGTTGTGTTTATGACTTGACCTTGATTTGTACGATATTTTGCAAAGACAAACATTGTCGTCAGAAATTGGTGATTTAGCAAAAAATATTTTTTATGTTCATTCATATATAGTGATTCAGTACAACTCAGCAGCTCTTTTCAGCAGTGAATAAATCTTTTTCGCCTTGACTGTTTCAGGACTCTGTGTGACCTCTAGGATGATACCATCCTCACTAAAACAAGCTTTTAAAACATTTGCAATTTTTTGCAACTGTGTCTTCAGCTCTTAGTTCTGACAGCCACAGCAACAAACCAGAAGTCTGGAGTGTGTGGTAACAGCATGTTGTTTTCTTTTTCTTACGTTGCCCAACACCAACAGTGTCTGTTGTGTAACTTCTGCATGAATACATTAAAAGCTACTTTCTGATGTCCTTTCTTTGCAGCTCCTAACATATAGTGTCATGTTTATGAGAATTTTGTTGCAACACATAAAAAAAAGATTATTAATAAATTAATTTTAAGTTATGTTTGTAAAATTGTGTGATGACAGTAACATGGAGTCAATAATCAAGAATTTATTTCAAAATAAAAAAGTCACTCACCTTTGATTCCAAATCCAGATATTTTCCATCAACTTCGGTTCCCAAGATAGCCAGTCTTCAGTGAGACTACGTGTCTGCACATGTGAACGTAAGCACATGTAGACCTCCTCAGGCCCCTCCAACAAGGGACATTCCAATAGGTTAACCACATACAGGCCTCAGCTGCATGTCAAGGCAGTAAAAAACCAGCTTGCCTGATAGCATTTACACCCACCCTAATACTATGATGAAAGAGAACCCAGCTGAGGTGTAGCACATGACTTTACAGAGGATTATAATCTTTAAGGTGGTTATCCAATCATTGTGTTGTTTTCTCTTTGTCTCCATGCAAATGTACTCTACCGAATTATGCCTCTGTGGGGTCTCTATTGTAGATCTTTGAATTTTTAAGTGACTACATTTAAAGAAATGATTCCAAACCGTGGATGATTCCTAAAATATATTTTTTATTATTGTTATTGTTTTTATAATTCTTTCAGGAATGAGTGATTTGTTTCTATGTTTACGGTTCATTACACATGCGTGTAGTTTAACAAGTGAAAGAAAATGGTTCAGTGAAAATATGTATCAAAATCTGATATTAGTGACGAAGTTTTTGGTTCCTTGGTAAAAAAAATTGACGTACAGGTCTCAGTTGATTGTCAACACTGGAATATCAATTTGTCATCATGTACTCTTTACTGTATCACAAATTAAGAATTTTGACAAAAAAAAAGAGTACAGAGCAAAACTGTAGTCATTGATATACTGCCAACTCTGCACACATGCATGTACACGTACAGAAGTAGCAGTACTAGAATACTGAGTAGAGTTACAGAGCATGCTTGACACTACTGGCTGCAAATTTGCTGCTTATTTATGAACACATGACTCACAGGTTAAAAAGTGATGGTGTGAATAGTTAGTGATTAAATCTCATTGAATGAACTTGGTTTTGCAAAAATGCAGGAAATGGCTGGACGTCTTTATTGGTTATTCTTCTTTCATCTTCCTACTGAACCTTCTGCAGCATATAAGTCTACAGGTGAAGACTGCAGTCCACATGAAGGCCACTATGATGGTCATTAGTACAAGAGCAACATCCAGGCTGTAGTAGATGTACCACGGCAGAGTGGAGCCTACTGACTGCAGATGGGCAGCTCCTTTGTTCCTGATGACATATTCAATCCAAAAGATAGCAGTGTCCATTGGAGACATAGGTCGGTTACGGTGTAGCTGGGAGAGGAGCTGGATGTTTCTTCTGTAGGAAGGATTGCTTAAGACGTCCTTTAAGGCTTCTAGAAAGTTTTCTTTTTTGAGAAACCCAGCCTCCAACATCCGAGCTGCCCCACGCACCTTTAAACGTTCCACATTGTCAAATTGGTCAAAAAGGAGTGGCAGGCCCAGGACAGGAACACCATGGTAGATGGCTTCATACATGCCATTGGTGCCTCCGTGGGCAACAAACGCCCGAGTCTTTGGATGTCCTAGAAGGTCGTTCTGAGGCATCCAATCAACCAAGAGGGTGTTGTTCCCCAAAGATGAAGGCCTTTCTCCTGTAAACCTCCACACTACCTTCTGAGGGAGTTCAGCAAAAGCTGCAGCAATGGCCTCGGTGGTGTCCCGAGGAAGGCCGTGCACGAATGTGCCCAGAGACATGACCACCACACCATGGTCTCCAGAGCTCTGCATGAAGTCCTCTAGCTCAGTGGGGAGGTGTTTAGCCCTTTGCGCTTGGAACCCTCCTATATAAACTACATTGGGCATAGTGGGTCGAGGGAACTCAAATACAAAGTCCGTCCTAATTAGCCAGATATCTGCCCTCTGCTGGAGGGACAACAGATCAGTGCCAGGAGGAAAGTGACGCTGGAGCAGGTCTGAATAGTAAGGGTTAATGATGAAGTGTAGAGTCACAGCGTTGTAGAGATAATGTAGCATATTCTTGATTCTGTCCTGAAAACCCATGTTATCATTGAGTTCACTACCGGGCACAGGGACGTAGGAGACAGGAGAGGGCGCTATACTAAAGTGGCCCTCACCAACGTTAATCCAACGAACGTTATAAACCATCGGCAGCTTCAGGTAACTCCCTAGGAGGACTCCAAGATTTAGAGCGGGGTCTGTTAGCATGAGGTCAAAGTGGACATCCTGCATCTTTTTAATGAACACAGGATCGTCCAACATTAAAGCCGCCGCTCTGGCCATGATCTTATTTCCTCTGGCTAATTTCTTCATGAGCAAATGTTGTTGCCGCAAGGTCCGTATAAACGTCAGCAAGTTGCGACATTCAAAGACATCTTGCAGCATTTTACTGTAAAAGTTTTTATCTGATTCGTCCTCCAGCATGCTCACATTAACCGCAGTGTAAAAAGTAGAAGTACTGGGAATGTACCAGCTCTTGGAAGAGCGCAGCACAGTGATGTTGTGGCCTCTGGAGTGCAGCTCCTGCAGAATCACCTTCATGTTGACCCAGTGGCTGCCGTCAACCGGCACCACCAGGATGTTGCTGCTGCTGCAACATGTAGGTTTAAGCAGCAGGAAGATGAGGGCTACCAGGGTTATTTGGAGTGCAGGAGCCATGACCTGCAACAAAACGTGATATTATGTTATTCTTTATTTTACAGTGATTTTTACAATTACAGGTTTTAACTAGGGATGTCCAATATTATTTTTTTGTAGGTATCAGTTATGCCAATATTGTCCAAACACTTTCTGATTCCGATATTAACAAATACTCATATAGCAGAGCCGTGGTGGCCTAGTGGTTAAGGAAGTTAAGGGCTGCCTTCTCACTTAGGTGATGGGTTAAGGTAGTGTTTCTCAGTTAATTTCTGTCATTCAAGGTTTTTGACATCCCTCGCCCCCTGGCCCCTGAAATGAAATACCATTAAGGGTCTGGTAGTATTTATTTATTTATATGTGCAAACCACTGTATTGAGTTCCTAGGACATACAATACAACTGCATACTATCCCCTGAATAAAAAAATTGATCAATAAAATGACCTGCAATGCTGCCATCTAGTGACTTTCACTTTCATATACAGCCGTTTTTCCCCAAAACCATTTTTAGAACACACATTTTACGAAACTTTGATTGCATTGCGTTATCTGTTTTCATTATCAGAGGAAAAAAGGATTCTTACAGATATTACATAATTATGCTAATATTGGGTAGATAATATCGGTCGGCCGATACTATCGGACGTGCCTAGTTTTAACACATTTTATCCCAACTTTTTTTTCTGTTGTCCATGTAATGTTTTAGCTGTTGGCTTTTAGATTATGATTATGTAACAGAAATGTTAAATGTGTCAGTCATTTTTTATTCTATGGTCTTATGCCAAAACCTAAACCCCTAAACAATTGCAGTATAACTGTTAGTTTTCTCTTTCTCTCTCATGCCTGTTGCACATGGAATTCTACTTTAACACGTGTTTTTCAATCTGCTTTTTTCAAGCGGCGAGGATGGCAGTTTGCTCAGGGACACGATAATCAGTGTGACCCCGTCAGCGATTACCAGACAGCTATCTATTCTGACAGGACACAGCATCATCGCAAAACACAACAAAGAGAGTAAACAGATAAGTGAAATTATAACAGAAAAATTCCAAATGCCTCACCTGGACCTTCTCCTGATCTGAATCTGGGAACTGGATGCTCTAAAGACAGCCAAGGTTTTTCAACACATTTAAACTCTTACCCAAAAAGACGGTCAGTCAGATCAAAGTCCACAGTGAATTGCCTGTAGGTCAAGTGCTACTAAATGCTATGTTGAAAGCAGCACATATAGCCTTGGGGTGGATGATAAAGGGGATTGATTTATGTTTAATTGCTTGTTTGTTTGTTTTTTCTCAGGCTTGATGATTCACTGGAGAGTCATTTTTAAAACCTTGACTATAGAAGGGAGCAGTGGAATACAGGAGAAAGGAAGTAAAGAGGGAAGGGGCAAGGTCAGTGGGGAAAAAGAGTGAAAAGTGAATTATTATCACAGCCATTTTTGACTGAAATATTTTAGTCAAGTAAGTCTTTTTCCCAATTTAATCAATAAAATGGGTTTAGCTCAGTTTCAGTCAACAAAATTTAATTTCATTTGGTTCATTAGAATTCAATGTGTTTTTTGTTCAATGTGTTTATATGTTTTACCATAATAGACGTTTTACTGAAAAATATCAATATTACTCACATTATTTTTTAAGATTATTTAGTAAACATATTCAATTATTAATGTATGTTATTATTATATCAATGATGCGCTATTACATCATATTATTCATTAAGGTATACATGTATACCTTTATGTTGTTCCTGGCTTCATCTGTTAATGTTTTAACCAAAAAAACATCTTGTTGCCATTTCTCTATTGCAATAATAAATTGTGACATTGCTATTATGACTCGCAAGAGTTCCCGTTTAGAATTAGGTAATTTTTCGGCTGAGTTCATGTTATTTTTTTTTTTTTAAGTCACTACAACATCTTCCTCTTAATTCTTTAAATTCATATTTTCAGAAAAATCGCAGATGGATGTTTGACTTCTTGCACATCCAGTAGAGGGAGACATCATCATTTAAGTTTAGATGCAGGCAACGCAAGGACAAGAACAGTAGACAACAGAAAAGTCCAACAGGAATAAAAATTGAACATATATAAAGCAATTTTATACAACTACAAACTTCAAGACTCAAGGTTTTATCGTGATTACTGTGTAAAATAGCATACAGTATGGAGAAATGGGAGGCAAAGATATTCTTTGTTCATAGTTTCACCAACTAAAATGGCTACAACTAGCACGTTAACACTGACTTAAATGAATATGTACAACAAACATCTGCAGTGTTGCACTGTCGAGAGAGCAGCAACGATGAACATACAGCACATTTTAGTGCCTTTTACTGTTGTTCTGATCATGTGACTAAACTAGTCACAGTATTATAGCACAGCATTTTTTTAATCAGATTTCTACACTTCCAGATTGGATCACTAGGGATAGGTTTGTTGTCTTATCTGTATGTATTTTGTACTTAAGTAAAGTGTAGCACAGTACTAGAATGTACCTTGGCCTTGGCTTTAAAGTACACATGATAAAATTCAATGAAAAACCAAGAGGTGTTAATAAGTGAGGCATCTGTTAGGAACTGATTAAACCAAACAGTTGGTCAGAAGTGCTGAACTTGTTTCCATGGTGATCACAAATGCAGAAACCGTGAAGAGATAAACATGTATTGTGTTGCATTATTTCCCCTCTGGGGCTGTTCCTGCAGTCACTGCATGTTTTTTTTTTCTCCTAAATTTAAACGGAAGCCTAAATATCAAAACAAAGCTCCCGTGTTGCTTGTTGGTCCCAAAACCTTTCCTTCCCTCAATTGTTGCTCCGCATGACTTGGCTCATTTCAGTCCACGTCACAGTGTTCTCACAATTTACTCACATGCGCCGTATGTTTGAAAGAGAAAGCAAAGCCCACAGTGTTCTCTTCATGTGCTGCAGGGCTCTCTGTTTTACTTCACTGATTTTGCAAAGAATTATGAAACTATTTTTTGTCATACTTTGACACACTGGTTTCTGCATTTGACTCTGCAGAGTTTTTAAAAAATAGTCTCAAATTCTGGATTAGACATGTTAGATTACATTAGATCAGTGTAGCTGAATAATACTGTAAAAGGGGGTGTATATCACTGCTTTCCCATTTATTGTGAGTTGTGATAAACTAGTTCTAACTCTATGCATCTTCACCTTTGCATGCATGCAGGGTGTGGTACAAGGTGGTTAGGAGGATTCCGAGGATTTCTTGTAGTGGATATCAGCCTTGCCCTTAAATGAATTCTTCACAGTATGTAGAAATGTATTGACGTTTTTCCCATTGTCATATCCTTCATGTGGCCCAGAGTTCCTGGCAGCAACCTGGGATGCAAGTAAAATTGGCTCGGTCTATAGGCAGTTGCTATCTGCATCTTTACCACTAGATGTCAGTATTTTGTAAAACTCGAACCTTAATTTTGTTCAGACTGAGTTTTGCATTCATTTTGAACGTTCTGACGTGTCCTGCAGTGCCAACCTTGACGACGGCATCGCGGTAAAGAAGATTTTATTGCAGTATTTTATACAGAAGCTTTTCTTTTACAGATAATTTACAGCAGCTGAAAGACATAGGGACTTTTCAAATCTTATACACAATTACATAGTTCATAATTGTATATTTATGTAAAAAATACACACATAGGCCTGTATACTCTATGTATAAGACAACTGAGGGAAGAATGATTAGCTCATGATTATAGTATCTTTTACACATCAGTGTAATGTGACATGAGAAAAAAAAATTATTTTATATATTTTTTATTTTATTTTTTTATTTTATACATGGAGTCATTGTGGTTACACAAATCATAAGGAAAGGTTGACAAAGGTAATGGGGTTCTTCCTTGTTTTGATTTCTCTTGCAAGCTGACACCAAGTGCAAGGCCCGCAGAAGAAGGCTTTGACACAGTCCTCGCAGATTGTGCCCTGTCACGACAGAAAAAGAAGAACATTAGTAAGAAAGAGGAAGGACAAGAAGCGACGCACACAGGATGTTAACGCAGCCCATCTAATACCAAGAAACACAGCAGCGACGAGAGATTACAGATTACATAGTTGATGCTGCTCAGGAATGTGAAAGTAGATCGTGTGGAGAACATACTTCAGACTTATCAGAGATCAGATACAAAAGTGGAGGCAGCAGTGACCTTTGTGCGAGAGCGCACAGAGATTTCAAGTTGCTTTTGAGGAACAATAAAATAGGGGGCAGTGCCGTACCTGAATGCCATACGTATGACGTACAGAGACCCGCATCGATGTTGTAATGGGCGGGATGAATCCGAAAGCATCCAGCAGCGGTAAACACGTGCACTCTCCGTGTTCGTGTGCAGTTTTACAGGTGAAGCAGGGGAAACACCAGCAGGCCAGGCAACCTGGACATGACAAGGAGCACACATAAATCAAACTGAAGACATTCTGTAATTATTCCAACAGCTACGATGCTTTTCTGTCAGTTTACAAAGATTTCACTGCTTTGCTAAACAAATTTATTTTGCCACACCCACGTTTCATCTATTTGGCATTCCACTTAGATGGTTTGAGGTACATTGGTGGTTCTCAAAGTGGGGGGCACGTCCTCTAGCTATTACGAAGGAGGGCACTATAGGGTCAAATATACAGTATCAGACAAAGGATGTTAGAGATGGAGTTGCCAGGAGAGCGGAGAAGAGGAAGAATTGTGGATGATGTCAAAGAGGACTTGGAGGTAGTTGGAGTAAAAGACAAGGGGAGAAAGAGGCAAATGATCTTCTGTGGCGCCCCCCTGGGAGGAACAATTGATAGAAGAAGGAGAAGAAGAAAACAGGGTTTCCTTAAAGTTCAGTGTAAATTTCAAAACAATAGCTGTGAACGTGTTGACTTAAGGGGGCTCACCAGTGCCCCCTAGCTTCCTGACTTATTGGTCATTCTCTCAAATATGTTTGGTCTGTCAGGACAAGGATAATACACTCACACTGTGGCAAGTCTTGACAGCAGTCGCAGATGCCAGAGCTCCATTGGTTGGACACACTGGTTGTGACAAAGGGCCGGGGTTGGTTTATAGTTACAGACATGGCCTCAGCTGCGGTGATCTAAAAGAAAAGCAAAGACGCACAAACTGTAAAAATTCTGTTCTTAGAGTTCGAACCATTGGATTAAAGCCAGTGAGTTGAACCTATGTACTTTCTTGTTGTAAGGCAACATCCCTAAAACACTACTATTAATACTACTAGTAATAATAATACGTTATTTTATATATATAATAATAAATATTATTATCATTATTATTTTATGTCCTCTAGCATCTTGTTTCTCTAAGACTGGGGCGAGACCCTCGGGTGGGTCGCAAGAGATTTTTATTGGGTCGTTTCACATCATGTTTTCCAGGAGTTTACAAAGGATGACTGTTGACTTGAGTCGCGAAGTTTTGTGATTTTTAAAATATGGGTCCCCAGAAAAGAAAAGTTTGGGAAACACTAGCACACAATTGTATCTTTTTTGCAAATAATATTTTTGATACAATACTTAAATAAAAACAATTAGAATTAGAATAAAAACAATTTATATCATTTTCGATCTTCATTTCCATCTACTTGTTCTTTATCCGATCAACATGGTCTTAGTATATTTATGTGACTTTAATATTGCGCCGATGACTTACCTTGATGTCGAGTGTGAAGAGCGTGCAAAGACTTGAGTCAAATCCAACACCTGAAGGACTGATGGTATTGCGGGACAGGTTGGCATCTTATAGACGGGTTGCTGCGTGCTGAGCGTGACAGGACATCAGAGGACCGATGTGCTGATGACTGGTCTGGCCTGTCTGACGGGTGTTAGCACCTCCAACAGGCAGACATCGGGCAATCAGAACATCACACAACCTTTTAAATCTCAGACGTCAACATACGACAAAGGGACATTTTTACAGTGTTCTTTGGCGATAAGAACAGGAGGGAATGTCCTGCAGTTTCTGTCCTACAGTAGGTGCCCTCATCACCTGCGCATATACCACTGGTGTAGACGCAGTTCTCGTGTCACCGCCTGATATTTTGATTTTACCAAATGAAATACATTAAAAACAACAACTAGTTATGAATTTAGTCAGGTCAGGTGTTCGCCTGAAGAAACTAACCCTGGGCCAGATATTCTTGCTGGCCAATGAAGAGTCGGTAACAACAATTACAATGTATGAACTCCAAGACATTCAATGCAAAATAAAGTAGTTTATTTTAAGGTTCTAAACATTGTGTAATAAAACAAAACAAAACAACTCAGTCCATACAGGGTTAAGCTGATGCTTTTGATTGATAATTTTTGCATTTGTTATTTGAACACTTTCAGACACAAGGGATGCATTGTAGTTTGAATGATGCTGAGCTATGCAAGTTTGGATTGTTGGTCTGTCATCTGTTGAAATTTAGCTTCGCTGTGCATTTCTTAAATAACCACTGACTGGGCCGCTCTGAGGTTGTCTGTGGATCATATGTGACCTACGAGCCTCTGTTTGATCAGGTCAGGTCTAACTAATTCTTACAGTATTGTATCACTCTGGACAGAATAATGCAAAAATGAAGGGTTTCTTCCTTTTTAACTTCACCACAAAATTAAGAAAACAATCAAGTTCTGCACATGTACAGTCCATGAATGATGATGTCACATTGTGTTGTATCATTTTGTACCTTCAGCAAACAGCAAACAAGGATCATTTATAATAACTAAACACTTTGTTTTGGAAGTACGGATTTCAACCAATGACATCACAGGAATTTAAAACATGTTAATGACAGTGTGCATGAGCAAACTTTCATGGAAAATATGTGCTCTCACCCTAATCGGATTTCACATCGAAAACATATTGTCACCCCCGCCCCATACCCTCCATGTCAGTGTCTAAAAATGACAAGCAAACTGGTTTCAGCCCTGTAACGTAGGCCAAACTTGCACTCGTTTTCTCACTGCTCTCAGCAGTGAACAAAGTGACCTTTTGCACTCATTGAGAGAGATTGTGACACTGCTGAATTGCTGAAACCAACAGGAAGAGGCTGTGGCTTGGAGGAAATGTGATTAGACCAGCCCATGTTCTGCAAGCGGCATAAAAAGCCTAATAAGAAAAAAGAAACACCGTCATGATCTGAATATGCCCATATCTAGACCAAGTGCGCCCCCTGCAGTGAGGTCAGGGATGTGTATTTGGTTGACATAGAGGAGGACGAAGCGTGGACTGCTGCTCTTCTCTTTAGCTCTCTGGATATCTGGAGCCAGGATAGTGTGTAGCAGCAACATCCATACAGGCAGTCACTCCACACACTCCCCTGTAAGACAGACAGAGAGAGAGAGAGAGAGAGAGAGAGTGGGCGGATTATACAATGTTTTGTCCAGCTTCCTTGAACTTATATAATGTTGAAATAAACAAACAATAGTCCCTCCCCCACCCCCATATTAAATAAATGCATAAATAACTATTAGAAACTATAACTGCAAACTGAAAAGCAGTTGGCAAATTCGATTTTATCTTAATATTTCAATTCGGTATGGTTTCAGAATGCATAAGGAAAACTGTCTAACTCATCAGGACGTTCGTTATATTGTGTTGCATTGATTAGATTGAGTAAGTGTAACTTGTTGACCTACCAGGTGGAATTCTCATTTGTAAGAGTAGATTTATTTACTTTTATTTTTATACTTCCCCGATAAGATGTGTTGTATGTTTCCAGGATAGCTTTTTCAGACTTAAAGAGTGTTCAACAGCCTCACTTGTTTCTTTGGCATCAGACCTGCTCTGTAACACGCTGCACTGGCTCCTCTGTGAATTTAACGTGGGAGGTTGATATTACAGCAGCTAAAATCACCCCTCTGCTTGCAGTGTAGGAAATCTGAATATAAACCAATGTGCTACCTCGAGGGGTAGGTTTTAAACGAGCATAAATGCGGAATCATTACAATAAGGTTAACCTCTTTACATAAATAGAAAAAAAGTAATTATCTCTAGGATGAATTCGTGTTATCTATGCAGACTTGGCGTGTGGGTTTAGTGCCATCTAGTGTTAAGGTTACAAGTTACAGGCAATTTCCCACTTCATTATTGTCATTCTGAAACATTTGTGTTACAAAAAGTTGCAAATACTGAAGGACTTTCCACAAAAAAATATTACAAAAAAATATCAGGTTTAAGTTGGTTTCAGTCTGTTGCTATGAACATTTTATTTTTATTTTTTTAACCTTATATATGATTAATCTAGTGGCGCTTTGGCCCAGAGACAATGTCTCTGTCATTGGTGTGGACCCCCAGGGTTCATCTCCTGGGCAAGTTCGAATCCCAGTTAGGGCGGTTGGTACCTTCCAGTGGACTCACCACCCGCAGGAAGGTTTGGTACGGTGCAATGTGATTTGGGTGGCGACTGCTGCCCCCGCGACCCGGTAACTGATAAGCGGATGAAAATGGATGAATGGATGGATGGATATGATTAATCTAATAAATTCCTCACACTTTGTGGTCTGTAGCCCACTCTTCCTACAGAGGTGCAAACATAGCTAACCACCTCCATGTCAGGGATGGCAGCGGTCCAGTTTCTGCCTGCTTGGACTCCAACTGTTCCCACCTCCTGCCTTATCTCCACTGTCCCAGAAACGGCTCCTTATCTTCCATCAAGCGCAAACCAGGCTTAGTCTTTGTGTGTGAGAAAATCTGTTTCTCTGGTGCACAGTGGTTAGTGATAGTCGTGATATCTCTGGAGGTGTATTATTATGTATTTTATTTTTAATAAATGGAGTCACTTACCGTATATTCCCATTGTTAATTTATTTATTCAATAAACCTATATATATTCCTAACATTCCTGCGTTCTCTTTATTAGTCAGGGTTTATCTGTGGTTTCTATGAATACTGTGTCAAAACTGCACACATTCAATAACCTGTGTTGTGTCTACGTTTTATCAATAACATCCATCCATCCATTTTCATCCGCTTATCCGTTACGTGGAGGTTGTGGGGACAGAAGTCTCCACGACCGCCACCCAAATCACACTGCCCCGTACCAACCCCCCTGAACCTTCCTGCAGGTGGTGAGTCCACTGGAAGGTACCAACCGCCCTAACTGGGATTCGAACTTGCCCAGGAGGTGAACCCTGGGGTTCCACACAAATGACAGAGACATTGTCTCTGGGACAAAGCGCCACTCATCAATAACATCAAAGAAAAATATAAATAAATTCATGGAAAATGTTTTTTGTCGAATCACAAAGATAAATTAACCATTAATGCTGTATTAGTAGGTGAAATAGAGCAAATGCCATCGTTATTACAGCCGATACCTTTATTCCATATCTTTCTCTGACAGAAGCCCTCATGGCCAAAGAGGCCGGTGGTACGCAGCTGATACAGTCCAGCAGGGGGAGACAGGGACATGCACCCACTGCGTTGGTCACTTTACAGGCAAACAGTGGGAGGCAGCACATGGCAAAGCAGCCTGAACGAACACACACGCACAGTGGGTCAGGTCATCCTAGTGATACCGGGCTGGGGAAATGGTCTTGGTTGTGTACTCACAGTCTCCAATGTCTTTATGGCACTCACACAGGCCTGTGCTCCACTGATCCGCCGAATGAGCCCTGCTTACAGGCTGCACCTGGATCACATTCCGAGACATAGCTGTTCATCCAGAGCCAGGAAAAGTGAGGAGGGAGTAATCATTACCATTCCACAAAAAACAGTGTGACAATGAAGGGACGTTGTGCTAGAACAGTTCCCAATGGTTCCAATAATTTCTCTCTCTATATAAAGAATTATTATATTACCCAATTAAAGATATTTCAGGGCTTATGTTAAGCTTTGCAATCAACTCCTGCCCTACTTGTAAATGACCGTTGTGTCTGTTAAGCAGAAATTAAATTCTTGAGGCTTTTATTTTGATGGGTTCTTGTTTTCTTTGTTACGAGACTCTGTTACAAGAAAACCTTTTTTTTTTGATAGTCACAAAGTTACTCTATTTAGTTGCTCTCTATTTAGTTGCTCTATTTAGCCACAGCTAAGCGCCCAGTCGGAGCGGGAACAAGGTATTGTTTAGTTGTCTTTATTTTATCTTTTGTGCACATTATGATGTATTTGGTTAGTTCATTCTGCAGTAATTGTTTGTAAAATGTATATTATTTTTCCGTAGCTCTTACAGTGTTTCTGGGAGGAACGGTTACAGACGGCAGGACAATAAAATCATCTGGAAATATCAGTTTCGGCGCCCTTTTCTGACTGGTTCAGCTACACTACTGGTTGAATGATGACCTGCGGTCTACTCAAATTACTCACATCATATGTGATATTTTACATTGGATTAAAACTGTTACTGCATGTTTGAAATAGAAATCCTAGCCATGAAAAGCCAGTATAAAAACACATATCCTAATCATAATATGAGAGAATCATTCTAAAATCTATCCCTCATTCCTAGGATTTAATACTGCTCTCTTCATAGAGTCGCAATTTTTTTTCCTGCTCTGCGTTTAAACCACACAATTTAGAGAACATGTCAGAGAAAATCTTTAACACTGTTGCCAGGTTCATAGACCCAGATTGCTGTGCTCTGGAGAATTATTCACAACAACCAGAGTGAAGTCCAAACAGAGAAATCTGTGACCGAGTATGTTCTAGTAGAAAATAACTGACTTACCTGCCACAGAGTTTAGATATTAAATCCTTGAATGGGTCACTATGGTACTGAATTGTTACTTCAACTGTGATCAACTGTGACTTTCACATGTGTTTGTGTACTTGCTCTTTGCCTGACTGCAGTGTTTGGGTGTAAATACAAAGCTGCTGTACCAGTCAGGATGGGTAAACATGTCCTTTTGCTAAAACGACTGCTGACCTGCAATATTTTGAACCCTCTTGCCAAAGATCACCTCTAGGAGGAAAGAATGACACTGTGAATTTGACTCAGCTATTTGTTTATCTGTAAATGTAGAGTTGTGGAAAATGAGTGTGTTTTTAGTTCCTGCTCCCCCCATCGGTCTGTTTTTAGTCTTCCTTTTTCCAGCAGGACTGAATTCTGGAAGGAAATGATCAGTAATGAACCTTTGCTCAATGTAAGTCAGTCACTAAAATGTTATTGCAAAAAAGCAAAATACAAAAGAGGAATCAATCAGTGAATTCATTTGCGATATTGTGTTGCATAGAGATTTGGACAGAAATGGACCGAAATAATTCCCTTCAAAAAATGCATGTGAGATATCCCACTGTGTCAGGTGAAATCCGAGAACAAACGGATAAAAATCTTATTCAGTCTTTTTCATAGGGGCATGAGCTGACATGTGTGGATTGTACAGGAGATTAACAAAGGTGACATTCTTCCAAGGTGGACTGGGACCATGTCTTGTTTTTAACAGCTTTATATTCATGTCTATGAAGAAGCCTCTTGGATGAGAGGTGAAACGTCTTCTTTTAGGAAAATCCCATCCAGTTGCCTAACAGAACTCTTCAACCTTTATTTTCATATGTTTTCAAATGACGTGTTGTAAAACAGCCACGTACTTTCAATGAAGGGAACTTGTCTCGAACCTGATCTTATGTCAAAAGCATTTCAACATGTTGTTTATGCATCTTATACAGTACATTGTGTCTAGGATATCACGGGATGTGGTCTCATAATGCCACAAAAAGGAGATTTTATTTCTTCTATTTTAATGTGAAATAAAACTAAAGGCATCTTTAAAGCTCTGGGGCAAACTCTGCACTACCTTCACAAAAACAACCTAATTAGTTGAAAAAAAATCCAATGTATACTAAAATGAACACGATCAGTGTCAGTGGGTGTCTTGTTCCATGGGAGAAATCATCCATGACTCGGATTATAGATTAACATTTCCACACCTCAATGTCAATGGCTGGAGATAACAAATCTGACATGATTTCATCAAGTCTGGACACAAGTAGGTCTGTCACCATACTGCAGGCATGGACAAACGGTGTCCGTTCAGTTTTTTAATCTGGAATCCAAATGATATAATCTTATATTATCATTATACTTCTGCTTTTTCCCTGCAATACTCACGTTTCCCCAATAGATGGCGTAGAAAATGATAAAAGCATTTTAGCATTTTAGCCTTTATGCATGACTTCATTTGTTCATTTCAAGTCATTTGTTTTTGTTTGCATCTATCTGTTCCTGACACCCCGCCCCCCAGCTCCCCATAGAAGTCATAGTCATAAAGTTTGCCCACGCCTGCCATAATGGATATTGTTTAATAATTTGTAATTACTCCGCTGATTTATGGGTGAATTAAAGTGTATAAACGAGCCACAACTGGGAAATTCCCCATGGAATTTAAAAAGAAAAAAAAAAGAAATTTATTGAAATATATTTAGATCAGATGTAATACATTTAATGACAGTATATTTGGTGGAAATACAAGATATTAAATGCAGGAATTGACTAGAAATAACAACACAACACTGGCATAGAAAGCCATAATGGGTATTGTGTGATAACAAGCAATTGTTGATACATTAGATATGACATGCATGTGTATATAAAATGATGCTAAATATACAATAGTTTTGCTGACAGAAAACTGGCTTATTAGCATAAAGCAAATGCCATGCATATTCACACATATTGGTTAAAATATCACAATGCAGCAAAATATAGTTGTAGAAATCTTTGCTGGTTTATAATCGTCTCTCTTATATCAGTGTGATTGGAAAATCCGGATGCCAGGACGAGCAGACAGCCTTAAATTCCGGAAACTCTAAATACATTGGGAAAATAAAATATATTTAATTATATACCTTAGTGTACAGTTGTTGACAAGGATCAACACACTTACTGTAAACGTTGGTCTTCTTGCAGAGGCATTTAATGAGATCCATTTTGTCCTCGTGGTTTGTAGGAAGGAGAGGAGAGTGACACTTTAGCCGGTTGTTGTAAGACACTGCAGAAAAAACAAAGACCTTGGGTTAAGGGGAGAAGGGAGTGAGAAGACCTTTCTTAACACACAGAAATTGACTCTCATGTTCTGCCACTCACCTCTGCACCTGCATCTGCGAATGTGCTTTTTAGTCACATTAAATTGAGCAGGCGAAGCTGTGGAGAACAACAGAAAGCATACATTGTTTATGACACAATAAGAGGTCAACCTCTCCACTTCTACATATCACTCTTGGCTTTTATAAGTTACTACCTTAATTTATTTACTGTGATAAAATTGATCTTCAGATTAGACGTATGTATAACAAAAATGAAGAAATACACATCCTTACTCATGCTGCCGCAGAAGTTGTCCACCAAAACTATGACCAGGAGAAGAACACCCACAGTCCAGGACATAATGGCTGCAGCTCATGTGAGGTGTTGAGTGAGTTCTGAATTGGAAGGGGTTTAAATACTTTTACGACAACGAGAGTAACACAGAAATGTTCAAGTCATGACCTGCAGAGAAATTCAGTCTGGTTTGGGTTTCAGCAGTATTTCAACTGTGCACAGAGTCTGAGTCAATAATTGGGAGATGCTGGCTATAGATGGTTTTCCGATAATCGTTTTTACCCATGATGCATCATGCCGTTGACCATGTTGCATGGCATATGACGCGAACAGATAGATGTAAACAATCGATAATGACAAGCAAAGACAAGAATTTTAAATCAAGGGAGATCAGACGAAATTGTTGTATAAGATTCACTAGACACAATTACAAAGTCAAGATACTTGGACAAGTTGAAAATAATCAATGGAAAAGACCCATACAAAGTCTACAAAGCTGAGTGGAAGTGGGCAGACATTGAAAGTTGACCAGACAATGTATATCATATGGTATTTATCAACACCCAAATAATACAGCGTGCTAATGTAAAAATCACAGTGGCATGTACGGATGTATGTCCTTTGTGAACATCATTTTATCATCAAAACATTTACATTAAAAATCATGTTTTACTATTGATTGGATTATACTTTTTTCCCAAAATCACTCAAAAAGCTGTATTTTTTGCTTTCTTCATGGAAAATACTGATAATTATATGGACTGTGGTCAGCTGGGGATTTAAGTTTGCGTTGTGTTTATTGTCATGTATGCAAAGTACATTTTGATAGATTTTAATTTTATTGACATTGAACATATGAATTAAATAAAAGTATAATGTAATTACCCAAAATAAAGTGTTCAGAACAGACTTTTTAATGTGTTTTGCTTGATTCTAGGTTGAAATTAGCACGGTTAATATGTGAAAGCCATAGCATCCCTCCGTCAGCTTTCCTCAGTGACAGATCGCTTTATGTCAAAAAACTTCATCATTCCCAGATCGATTCGTACACCCCCCCACAACACAGAAATTTACCATTATTGGTGTTCTTTTGTGTATTTAATATCTATCTATGCGCTCTGTTGCCCCACAAGATGACGGACTACGGAACTAGTGTAGTAGTAATCAGAAAACTATCTATTGATTGTCATGCATATGGGAAGCTGCATAAAATGCAGGAAATTGGCTGCACTTCAGCATCAAGAGGTGTGATATTTGAAATTGAATAGATAGATTATGAATGGTTTTAAACCTAAGAACTGTGACATAAACATCACCTGAAAACATCTGCAGATTATACTGTACCAACAAAATATCATCGGTTATATTCGAAAAATGTATTAAATTGGATTCAAACCGTATTTTGTGGATCCTACCGATGATGTTTTAGTTTATAAATTGTCTCAGAGGTTTGGTGTTCTTTTGATGTATCTTTCAACAACAATTATTTTCTTTTCCCATAGCTCTTTCCTTTGTTAGTTACCATCTTTAATATAAATGTTGTTATTCACTCAAACAGTGCCCCACAGAACCGCTGCATTATGACAAATGTTTAAAAAAAGAAAAAAAATGTCACCCATGGTGAACCCTACATTCAATGAAAGCTGCTCCAACAGATGAACATTGTACAATGCAACGAATTGGAATCTATGACGGACTATTGTCATGTTAGCATGGAAATGTGAGCACAAAGCTGTTACTTTAAGAGGAGAAAGTTCTCCGGAAATCAACATTTAAAAAATGCCACCTAAACAACTTTTTTTTTGTAATAGTACAAATTAATAAATGTTTACAATTTTATTGTCATAAATTACATTCCTTTTTTAACCTAAATTGACATCACTGTAAGAATCAGGAGGCTAATTGTTCAAAAAAGTAACTTCATTAATGTAGTTTTAACGTAAACCAATCGTGAGCAAAAATAATACATTTAAATGTTTATATTTCCTATATTTCCTATGATGCCTTGATATACACAAAATAGAGACCTAATGACTGTAAGAAAATTTTACGCGTTTTTTAGCATTAGTTGAGGAATATTGTTTTCAGTGCAACTTAAAATGCTGCCAGTGGAGTGTAAAGCTCCTCGTGTCACGTGACTCCCATGAGGTGGGCTTTTCTTGGGGGGGGGCACCTGCCACTCTCTCATCACTGCGGCTTCGAAACTTTGGCACACCTCCAGGGTAATAACCCCAACAGTCAGTGTCAGTGCTGTCGCTTACAGCAATCCCGCAGTGACGTGAACGAGCGCTTTTGACTCAGGACACAATTCGAGGAAATCCCAAGGCCGAGAAAACGACGAGAGGCTCCTTTAAATCGACGCTTTCTCGGTGTCGTGCCAACAGAAGGAGAGAGAGTGCGGGTGAGGGAGAACCAGAGAGAGCGCTGACAAACAACAACACGGGTCACTGAAGCAGCTTTTAACGGATTCAACTTGGAACTGCGGCCTCAGGGAAAAAAGGGTAAAAGAGAGTGCATCATATTTACCAGTATGAGGAATACTGGGTATATGAGGAATTACCAGTGAGGAATGATAGCGGCAGTTATGAGGCTAATGTTGGTGAAATGACAGCACGCAAATTCAGTTTATTTGTGACGTAGAGACAAATAAAACGCTCTTATAGCCGTCCGTCTTTGTAATGCCCAGGCTTTCAATACACCTGTTTGTGTTAATGCAGCGTGAAACACGTCGTTCATTTTGAACAGTGAATTTAAAGTGTTCTGTGCGCGTCTGTCAGCACACGAGTGTTCTCTGACGCAGCAGAGCTATTTTTGACAAACGCATTTGATTTGAACCGAAGCCTTAAAATACTTTGTCTCTCTTGTTTTTAGTGTTTCGCCGTCTGTTGTCATACATTCATTGTTGAATGCCATTGCGGAAGTGAGAGTCTTTTCCACACGACACAAAGCTTGGAGCGTGCCGACCTCTAGTGGGCAAACAGGTGAAGGGTTTCTGTGGACATGTACGGAGCGTCAGGAATTCCCGAGCTCATCCCGCCAAGCGGGCCGCCCCGTCAGCCAGGCCCGGCGGGGCAGTACAACCCGGGACACCCTCAGGTCAACGGCCACGGTGGAGGGCCTAATCCCCAGAGACTTGGGCAGAGGGCACCTAAACTGGGCCAGATCGGACGGTCCAAGAAAGGTAAGGGATAAATTGCCTGTCTGCTAAGTGGTAACACATTTCTGGGTTCAAAACAGTTGTTGTTAAGTATATATATGTATATATATATATATATATATATGTATATATATGTGTATATATATATATATGTGTGTATATATATATTATATATATATTTATATATAAGTTGATTGGAAGAAACTCACCTGGGATCGTAACTCTGTTCTCTATCCTCTTGTTTCTATCAGCCGGTTCTGGTAAATTAATAAGTGACACGCTTCCTAATGGATATGTAAGGGACTATTGCCCTTTAGATTCTATTAATGTTGACTCATGAGTGTAGAAGGTGGTCAGTATTTGCACCAGGATGATAATATACAGTCTACAGTCTAATATACTCAATGCTAAAAAAAAAAAAGAATAATAATAAAACATCTCACTCTTTTAAAATGGCTTCATTTCCTTGTTCTTCTCAAAATAATACTAATAATCATAAAAATAATTGAATGGATTTTCAATAGATCATATCTAACTAAAGATATTTACCATATGAACAGCCATCATATCTACAGTTAAGGTGATAATGTAAGGTTTTGTTATCCTACACATTTCTCACAGTTTACTCTTTCTCCTCAGTGGACTTGGATGATGAAGACCTGGACGACATCATGAACAACAACGGGCAGTGTCCTGTTTCGCTTTCTCCAATCTCCTAAACTCCACCGTTAAGTGCCAAAATAATTGATAAATATTAAAAATACCTAGGGTGAGGGCAAACCTCTACGTCAGTTATCTCGGCCTTGATCCTGTCAAGTGTCCGACTGAAGTATCTGATGGATCAACGTGGCACAAAAACCAACTTGTTTAGCGCCAGCTGAAGCCTACAGTAGGCTCTCATTGTACATAGTCTTATTTAACTTGGTCATACTGTGAATTAATTGTATCACATCAAGCCCTTCTCGCTCCTCTGCACCTAAGCCGGTGGCAGATTATCAGGACTTGAGAGAAAGATTGTGAGAAAAGTGTCTATATTTTTCAGTGTCTTAACAAGGGCTACATTTCTAAAACGTTGCACTTAGCAAATGGTCAGATGCAAAGCAGCCTCTTGCCTGCCGGTCCTCTGGTGAACGTAACTGATTTTGTCCAGGTGTTGGTTGTGGAAGGGCACACACGCCTGTTAATGTGTGTGTATCACACAGGTAAAACATTAAGCTTCGGGTGTGCAATGACTATCGTTCTTTACTCTCACACTGATGCAAGTGGTGTACTATTTTCCAGTGGTTGAATGCTCACTCTTTATACAAAAAAAAAACAAAAAACAGACTGCAACTGATTAATCGTTGTTTTCAGGACTTTGTCGTTGTTATGGCTCGCACACGGTTTTAATTGTTTTGTGTATGGATATTGCTTTTCGTCATCTATAACTGATTTGTTTTGTTTCTAAATGGTGCACTTTGTGGGAATGCCTGTTATGTGCAGTGACATGTGGCAGAATTCTATGCATGAAGTCTGTTAAAAACGCATCAGAACACGTAACTGGTATATCCTGTTATTAAGGGCTATTGTGTGCCGCGGTCTTTCAGACCGCACTGACTTTTTTGTTCTTTTTCTCTTCAGCGCCTGCAGAGTCAGCGTGAGCTCATTGTTTTCTCGGGCTGCAGAATCAGCAAAAAAATAATCACAAAACAACAATACAATTTTAAAGGTTTTGTGTGTTTTCGCTGGTGCGCCCTCCCCCCAGTTGTGATCACAGGCAATTCTCAAAAGCGAGGGTTGGAGGAAAAATGCCAAATAATATTTGATGACAAATCTTAAGCTTGTTAGGAATGCACACACGTTTATTAAGCTACACCTGTGGTGTGAGAATGTCTTTCAGGTTTTGAGGACCTGTTGTGAGGAATAACGTCAGTCTGTACAGTTACAGCATGGGACAACAAAAAAACAAGTATCTTACAATTTGCTCTAAATGCTGAGACAATCTTACCACAGGGAGGGAATATTGATTGTACTAGGTCGTGGGACGATGTAATGTCTTCTAAAAGGCTAATTTTGATAACGTTACTTTAGCTGTGAAGCGGTTACCAAGCTCACGCCGCTTCATGGAAGCACTTCAGTTCACAGCACAACCTCGGACTCCGATCGTTGTTTAGGTTGCATTTGCATGAAAGTGGTTGACTATTTTTCGTAATGCATCTCAAGAAATAAATGATGAATCTATGTGTAGTCTTGCTCTTTATTTGTAGTGGACTGACTTGAACATGCACATGATTCGTGTCTCTGTAAAAAAGGTGTTTGATAATCAGGAAACAGATTATTGTCATACTAGATATATGATTAAAATAATAACTGATATAGTTAAACACCAAACGTTTACATTTCTGACACCTGAAAAAGTCAAAAATATACAAAATGCTTAATTTACACTTCTGCAACCCAGGGTATTACATTATTGGTGTGAAACTGTGCCTTCATATACTGCAGATGTGATAGCATACTACTCATACTCTACACCAGAGGTCTTCAACAAGTCTTCAATCCCTACAGGGAGGGTGGGGGTGGATCAAATGTTTAGTACGTTAGACATCTTTTTATTATTATTAAATTGATTGGATAGTCTTGTTTAATAATTTATAAATTTAATTGGTTTAAAAAGTCAACACATAGACAGAACTTTATATCCAGTAAGTCCACCGTCCATCCTCTTTTTCTTTTAAGGGGAACAGCTTCACAGAAGTTTAAGCAACTTTTATGTTTAAGCTTAATACATTACACAAGCCGCCATACAAATCCACAAACTCACAAATTGTGTGTAATACATAATTTCCTCAAAATTTTTCAATGTTAACAGTACAGTCATTTGGATTAGTCTATAATAAAGAGAGGTGTGAGAGTGTGGCCACAATTACTGAAATTGAACAGGGGAGCCGGATCAGAAGTAGATAGATTGAGCATGTAAACATATATTAAAACTATATTAAATGTAAAATTCATGCACATAGGCTACAAGGCTTTCTCTATCCCTCCATCAGCTGGGTGGTACATGGCCTAAAAGAAATAATGAATCGTGAATGCAGTTCGTTTAAGGCGTGTAATTAGCAGGGCGTTTCAGGTGGATCGTGGCAGGTGATTAGTCCTCTGTATCTGGTTTCAATGTAAGAGGCCAGATTCCAGCAGCAACTGGAGACACCTCCTTAAACTTTTAAATTGTTTTTATTTGTTCATTAATGGTTTCCTCTTGAGTATTTTTGTAGTTCTGCCTGTACCTGAGCATTGACTAGCAAAGAAAAAACCTGTGAATACACTTGGTGAATTTGTAAAAAAAATAAAAAAATAAATCTGTGTTAGAATGTCAAATACTTTACTTTGGTGTGACCACATGCTAGATTGCTGGATGGATAGATCAGCAACAGATTATGTCTGCTATCAATCTAGTCTGTCCATCTGTGTGACAAAAGATATCAACAGAATCCAGCTGAAGAGAGAACTCTGTTGTCTATTGAGTTTCATGAATTAACAAAATTAAGGTTGTTGCAATCTTTTATTATGGTTTTGTCGTACATGTTAAGAATTTCCATCGGCTTTCCACAAGAAAATCACCTGTGAGATAAGCAAAGTATATAAAATGACATAGAAAAACCAACAGCGGGCGCTGTTCGGAGCATAAAAACATTTTATAAAAAAAAGAAAAAAAAAGAAAAAGAAAATTAAAAGTGAAACAATAGGGCCACAATAAACTACAATTATGCTAATCTACACAAGAGCAAAAAGCAGTGTTGGACAAAATAAATAGAAGCAGTTTGGACTCTTAGAGGCTGATGTGGAAAATATGAGAGCACAAATGGCACAGTGACAACATCATGAAGTATTTCATTGCTGAGCAGGGTTTGTAACAGGCCGGTATGAAGAAGTACATGACCTGTAGTGACTGTTGTAGTAAAAGTCCCGTGTGATACACTCCTCCTACACGGTCTTGTGTGTGTGAAGTCACACCCTGCTCATCACAACTATTTTGAGAGGCACCGACTGTTGATATAAAATGGCGTGGGCGTCACCCTGCGGCTGTGTTGTACACAGGCCCTGAATCGTAGCTGAGACACCAAACTGGAATTGATTACTTTCAATTACATGGCAAATGCTAATAGATGCCATTTTTAGCACAGATGTGCAAGTGTTGGCTACCATCCAGCCTTTAGGCTACTATTCAAGGGGTTACACCCTCAGAGTTGTCTATTAAGTCAGGGGATCCAATTATAGTGTGTTTGTGAAGCCTACTTGTAAACAACTGTAGAATGTGTGCACTGGGTGTGAGACATCATTTGTGAAATAAGTGAGATGGGGGCTCGATAATTGGGCGGCCAATCACCTCAACAGTGAAGTAAACATAAGGTCAAAGTCCCATTTCTGTGTCTCTTGCATCTTTCTATATTTCCTACGGTAACTGCCCATAAACCTTCAGTTTTATTCCTGGCTGGTGCTGAACAATAGAAGGAACTTCTTGGTCCAAGTCCCAGGCTGGGCTCTCAGACATATTCCTTAGTGCTGCTCTGGGCAGCAGAACGGGAGCTGCCCGTGGATGGATACTTGGATACCTGCTTCTTCCTTGGACAGGAAGCGGCCAACATGGCCCCACCCAGGACATCGAGGAGGGAGCCTCCCCAGGCAATGAAGATGGCTGCACCAAATTCAAACCTGGCAGAGAAAAACATCACTTAAAGAAGCATCAGAATGAAACTTCTTAGTAAAACAAATTCCCCACATGCTGTATTATAATCTATTTAATACATTTTTTGTAGGAGTAAAACACACAAAGTTATCACATTCATATTCTATATCAAGAAGCGGGTGTGGTCTTGAGTGACTTACTTTGTGTTGACAGGAGTGTAGGGATTATAGAAGGCCCGGATGACATTATGAGCAAACCAGGAACAGGCCACGATGGCACAGAGGCCTGGAAGGAGAAACATTAAACACAAGACCATCATCAGAAAAGGAAACAAGTGGACTTTTGTCTCCTTCTACAGTCACCTCGGGGAGGCCATGGACCTTTGCCAAGTGTTCAGTGTTTCGTTTCTCTTCAGAAAAAGTGGACCCCTAGTGTTAGAACTAATGCCAAAGCGCTGGTCTGACTCAGCCTTATGATCTCTTAGTGTGGTCTTGTGTAGGCTACCAAGTGTTTGGACCAGTGATCAAACTAACTTCTGCGTGCAGTAGAATTCAACAGGCAGGAGTATTTATCGATGGTTAGGGTAACAGTTAAACTATCTGTAATTACAATGGTTAGCATTGGTGAAATTTAACAATGATTATCGTTACTTTACCGCTCTCGTCAAAAGCACCACTTTGCTTCAAAACACCCTCAAACCTAAAACACTGTGATTCCTATCATAACTGCTGACCCTGTTACCCTGTACTGAATCGGATAATAAAGCACAAAAGAGCCATACTCACCGCCGACCAGCAGGATGATGCCTCCTGTCATGGCGATGCGGGACTTGCGTAGTTTTTCCGTTCCACCACATGTGGTGCACTTCATTCCCATACAGGACACACCTAAGCCTGCGATGGACACAATGATGCCAACTATCATCAAGGCACGAGTGGCCTGAAGTGAACCTAGAGTAGTGGGGTAAAAAAACACCAACAAAACAGTTCATTAGTAGAGTACAGGAAGCGTGAACAGCTTTATTGTGGAGAGAAGGCGGAATGCGAGGTGGAATGTGGGAGTAAAGGCATGTACAAAAAAGAGGGGAAAAAAAAGTGAAACCCATCCTTGTCCTGTAAAGGGGCCTAACAAATCCATTTACAGGTTGTAAATTACATTCAGACTGTTCTCCAGGACACTTTAGTGTTAGATTTTCCTGGAAGAGAAACCAAGGGATACACATGAACGCACACTAGCACAGACAAACAATTAAAGAGAGACCCCACTGTTAGGATCCCAGGACCCTCATTTGACAGTCCCCTTCTCCGTCCTTTCTCACACTATGAATCTTCAAAGGGTGCCCCAACTTCCCCACCTCGAACCAGTCTGTGCCAGTCGAGTCCATCCCTGCCCTGCCCAAACAAACAAAACCCTCCAGCAGTGAGGGAGGGCCTGCAGGATGCCACGTAGAATAAAGAGGAGGTAGGGAAGAGGGGAAATGCAGTTAAGTAAAGTTTCACAAAATGGTGGCATTAAGGTCAGTCTTAAGACTTTGAACCTTGAGATAACAGATGATAACTTGATACAACTTTATTATTTTTTTCTAATTAACAAGATATCTGATTAAATCAAATTATTTTTTATAAAGAGACACTAATTAACAAGATATCTGATGAAATCAAATCAAGTTAAAGGTTCTGAAAGCAAAGATAAAAACTAGTCCAGAGACAAATGCTAAACATTAGGACCTACTGAAGTATATCAGAAATAAAATACCAATACTAAATATTAGCAATATTTAAGTCAGCACAGCTAGCTTAATTACATTACCAATAAGATTTAAGGATTTTAATTTTCATACCACAAATCTAAATAAAAATGATACAAAAATTTCCGATTAAAATACCCAAGGATAATAATAATAATAGACTATATAAATAAATGAGACTAGAACAGTGTTTTCCATACATTTTAAGCCAAGGCACATACAGTACTTTATTTTCAAATAATCCCATGGCACACCACCAAACACCAACAATTTCACAAAAAGTATATGTAATGAGATATAATGATCTTCTAATTTCAAGTTATTCACTTAGTGTGAAACCTGGGCCTGTTTCGTTGAACGCAACACTGATATACTCAAAGGAATTAAAGAAAGAAAAATTGTATTTTTCTGTATTTTTGACCTAAACCAAAGCTCCATCATTGCATAAAGACATTTTTTTTGGGCATCAAACACTAAATTAGTTGTGGCGCTGAGCAATTATTTCTGTTTTGTCCACTGCACATGAAGGTTGCAGACTACTTATCCATCTTTCTTTTGTTATGCTAATTACTATAGAGCAGAATTACAGATTGTAAAACAAACTTACCCCCCCCGGTAACAGCCTTGATTGAAATCACATGATTCTAAGATCTGTGTTTCAGTGTGATTTTTCTTTACCATGGCACCACCCATCCATAAGCTGTCACACCAATCACTGTGACATTGTTTGGATGATGTATCATTTAGTATTACTGTGTGAGGGAAGTTTGAGTGTAAGGCAGCTGGAGGAGGTTTTTCATGGAAGGTGACGGTACATGGGTGAGGTTTCTCAGGAAAGCTCTCAACCCTGCAATTTCTTTGCTATTTTTCATACTCCCGGAATCGGGTGTCAACTTTGTGAAAGGAAACCTTATACGAAGAAGACAATGCAACACTGTGATGACACACAGCTGTAGTATTTTGGCAATTACAGTAGTTACGGAGGGCAGTTAAGATGTGAGGAGCAGGCCTCAGCAAAGTACTCAGCAAAGTGAGTACTTTGATGGAGCAGGTGCTTCAGTAATGGAGACACAACAATACACACGACATAACAAATAATGGGATTTTAGTCTGAGAAGGAAAAGATACATATATATCTCTAAACATTAAAGAAAAATGTGACAGCATAATTTACATAATACATATGTAGGTTATTGGCATCAAATTGTATAAAATACATATAAAATACATGGTTAAACATGACCAAATATAGAAATCTCTCAATTAAGAAAACTATATAATTCAGAAACATTAATATTATAGAAGCTATCGCACCCTCCACCCCCCCCCCCCCCCCCCCCCCAAAAAAAAAAAACGTACACGCCACTGCACGAGCTCATTTGCCTGCAGAGAAAAAAAAAGATTTTATGTAAGTTCACGGGTTTCTACTTACTGTCAAGCTGCAGAATGGAGTCATAGATTTTACACTGGAGCTGTCCGGTGCTGTGGAAGGCACAGGACATCCACAGACCCTGGTACATGGCTACGGCGGTGATGATGTTGTCCCCGATGTACGCCGACATCTTCCACTGTGGCAGAATAGTTCCGACGATCAGGCCCACGATCCCAATTAACGACATAAAAAACCCCAGCAGCTGAATACCAGAGTTGGCCATCGTTAAAATCTTGTTTTTACTGAAGTCACTTTCTCTACACTCTGTGTACCAGAGTCCGTGCGGTTCGCTCTGTTAGTTGACAAACTCCTCAGATTCAGTCAAATAAGTGTTTAATAAGCCGCCGATGGAGTCCGTGTCGCTCTGGGCAGAGTCCTGTGTCCAGTGTCGGGAGTAGGCATCAGGATGAGAGTGATGGTGTGAAGTGGGTGTGTAATTGTCATGCCTGCTGATGCACTGAGCTGCAGCCCCTCTTTGTCCCCCCCTGCAGCTGTTGTGCGGGCAAACGTCAGCTCTACTTTCAGCAAAGCAACAGGTTGTCTGTGTTTCCCACCTTTTCACAAGGACCTCCAACCTTTCATTACACATCAGAGCAGGGAATGACCAATCACGACGATGGCCGTTACCGGTATTTGGATTCATAAAAATTCACAAAGAACAAAATGTTTGAATTTAGTTAACTTTTAATTTAGTTAACTTTTAATTATTTTTTATTTTATTTTTTATTTTTAGAGTAGAGTAGAGTTAGTCATGCATCGAAATATGATAGTCTGCGTGGTGTTTTAGATGAAAAACAAACAAAACAAAATCAAAAACTTCTGTCCACTTCTCTAAATAAATTACCAGTTGCTTTGTAGTTTATTCATTTATTTTTTTATGCTTTGGAGAAGGGTGGGCAAACGTTGGGCCTCGGGGCGATTTCCGGCACGCAATTCCACTGACTAGGGCCCACAACTAAATGGTAATTATTTATTTTGCTTTTGAGAATTTTTATTTTCAATGGTTTTCTTTGTTATTTGAACTCATTTGAACATTTTCTTTAATATAATTAATATTTGGAATACAAATATTTTCCTACTTTTTTATTATCTTTGTTAACTTCGATGACTGATCTTAGCTCATTAGTACTTGAGACCCTTGCGTTTTTCTGTCTCATTACTACTATTTTTTGATATTAACTTAACTGAAACAGGGTGTTTTAAATGTTATTACTGTTTTAGGCACAATATTAAAATCCTTAACACAGCATTGTCAATGGATGGAAAGTTTAGCACAGAGAATTGTGGGAATGTTTTCCGTGTTCCTTAATACACATGGAAAAAGAAGGGAAGAGCAGAGGAATTGTTCCTTTGTTGCGCTGTGTCAGACATCCGCTAATTCCTTTCCATTGAAAACATAAGGTATATTGGTTCAAAATGTACTGGGATTTGCAGTGTTACTGTTACATGGGGCGGCAGGAAGGGGGTAGTCATGCATCGAAATATACAGTATATCAGAGTAAGATGGAGATTAGCAAGTAAGTGATGTGCATTTATTCAAATTGTATAAAACGTTATTATAGACGTGGGAGGCCAAGATAACGCGATATTACAATTAATTGTGGTATTAACAGCTACGCTTAATTTATCGCAACGTTTCCGTCAGAAAAAATATGCCGGAACTATAGTTGAGCGCAACCTAAACGGAACAAAAACAAAGTTACACAACACCCGCACGTTGCCGCGTGTGTTGCTTTATTTTTGGTCCCTGCAGGGTGCAAGAAAGAGACGTGACCACGTGGGTAAAGATGGCAGAAGAAAAGTTATTTCCTCGAACAGTGTATTGAATCAGGCGTGTGGGATTATTTTGACTACAGAGGAAAATGACCAGGGTTTCGTTGTGGATGACGGTTGGCCAGCATTTAGAGCATGTCATAAAAATGAAAAAAGGAATTACATTCAACATGTTTCATCACCTGCGGGGGACCTACCCTACACTGTTCACCAAAGTAAAGGTAAATACACATGAACTGGAGTAAATAACGTCAGTATTTTCCTAATGCTACATTGAATTGGTAGGACATTAAATGTTAGCATATCATTTGCAATTAATTGTTTAACAATTAGACACGTGTTTGGCTTTCAGTGCAACGTGACAAGTTACACGGCATTCACCTAATGCTACCTTATACTGTTCGTATGTAAACATAACGTGAGAACAAACGCTTTTTTTAAATATTTATTTTATTTTATCTTTTTTTGTTGGGCAGTTTCAGTGTCAGTGTGCAGTGACCGGTAGAGGAAAACGCTGTGTAGTGTAAGGTTTATACTTTTCTTTGTCGAATTCCTGTCTTGTATGTTTTGGTTACTTGACTATGTTATGTTGGCATCACCAGATAGAAATTAAGGAATCAGGACCTACAAGGAGAGTCTATGTGAATTTACACATTCATGGTGTTGTTAAATGAATTAACGTATAACAATGTTTGTGACAAATTCTCACACCCCTAGATTATACATTACACAGTAAAGAAAGTCAAAGCAGATATCCAACCAAAATAGCCTCACAACCTGTATAATTTTGTACGTGAATGTCTGTGTGCCTATTATATGTACACTGTATACCAATGACCTAGAATTAAGCTTTAATTGAATGCTATTTGACCTTCCAAAGTGGGCGAAACTCCGAACTCTCCCTAGAGCTCAGCTCATCAATCACTTGGTGGTCTAATGCTCTGGGCAGATTGATGACCTCTCGCTACTGAGGTACTGTAAACCACTGGATGGGAGCACAAATGTTGCTTGTTGAATATTCATTCCCTATAGTACAGGGGGTTTCCAAAGTGGGGGGCAGGCAACTCCGAGGGGTCCTAGGTGCATGGGTAATGCAGGGGAATTAATTTCAATATTTATATTTTCTTTATTCATTTAAAAGAAAGTTGCAGTGATTTGTTTTTTTTTTCTTAATTCAAGAAAAATAGCATTGTTGTGGGAGTTACGGTGTTTTAAATACAGTTTATTAGACTCAACGACAACCTGACTTCAAAAGACGGGCAGCTGCAAAGAAAGTTTGGGAACCACTAAAATACTGTATAAAACATTTTATTGACTTCAGTGTTCCTAAAAAAAGTTGAGGAAAAGGTGTACATAAAAATACAAATATACAGTTAGTAAAACAATTGAATGCAACATTGCTTTACTTAATAAATAGCCATGTGAGTTAATCCAATAATGTTTGAATATATTTTTAATTCTAGGTGTGTCAAACATTTGAATTTACATTAGGTGTAAGGCAAGAGCACGAACCAGTCGTCCACTGTGTAGCCTTTGTTACACTTCTTGGTACTGAATGATTTTTTACATTCCTCTATAGTCTTTCAAATTGTGGCCTCAGCCTGCAGATAATAGGGGGGCATGAAAACAAGAGACAATCACAGGCATTGTTCATATCAGAGATCAGGCTCAGCTCTGCAGTGTGCGTGACTTCACACTGAGGCTAAACAATAGTCCTACAGCAACGGGAGAGGAAGTAATAACCAATAAGCCTGGAGCAAGCTTTTCCGACTACCAGCTTTAATGGGAATGTGCTCACCTACTGGCTGGGTTACCTATTTGAATGTAATGAGGTTTGTACGGTTGCTCTCCCAAGTTTTGAACTGATCTTTTCCGCCTTAAACCACTTTTTTTTCGTTTCATTTTCCTGCCCTTTCCCTGCACCTTAACTCACCACCTCTTGCGCTATAATTCTTCTGGCCCCCGCTACTGTATCCAGGCCTGAGAAATAGACCCTGAGGTTTTGGCTGCAGGGGGCCTAAAAATGCCAAATTGTTGCCTGGGAGGAATGGCGCAACAGTTGGTCTCACTAATGTTGTGTTTCTGCCCTGAACTCTTTTCTCAGCAAACTGAAAGTAATATCCAGATTAGAACTATCCTTTTAATCCCAGCACCTGTTTTTTTTCTTTTTTTAATTCAAACTTTGATAGAAATTAACAGGTTAGCTTGATGAAGCTGCTGAAATGTTTCGGATGTGCCTTTTAAAAAGGATGAAGCAATGTTTCGGATGTGCCTTTTAAAAAGGTTTGAAGTGGATTTGCTCTGATTGACGTGATGATGCATGCCCTAGTTGTGGAAATGTTGAAAGTGAAATATGAAGGTGTTTCTTTTAGACGGGTGAATAAAGTGTGTGAGACTGGGAAGATAAAAGATGGACAATTAGATGATCTGAGATGGAACGCACTGGACTTCCAGTGCTGTTGCTACCGGCTACCTGATTTATATGATGTCTCTTTGGCAGCGTCCTCCATTCCACTCCTGGATTGCACGGACACAAAGACAACATTGCCCCCCGTTTTCCCCTTGTACGTCTTTGGTTTTGAAAGCGTAAACACACATTAGTCTCTCTGGTTCAGCCGTTGCTCTCTGCTCAATAGGAGGTGAAAGGAAAAACAGCTAAATCAGCCCAGAGAGGGACACTAACAACATTCTCTCAGGGACTCTGCCTCCTAATTCTGAGGCCTCCTCGGGGTCTAAAGTGAGCAAGTGAAGTGCAAATCTGATGATTGAAGTCCTTTAAGTGCCCTTGCAAGTCAGTGAAGCATTAGCAATAAAACATGCTGGGCCCACGGCATTTCCCTGAAAAGCCCCGAGCGCACAAACGAGGGGGATGGCGCCCTTCTCTTCATGTCCCCTGTCCATTCCACCCTCGGCCTTCTTATGCAACAACACATGGCTTTTGTGTTGCAGCAGCGGGACAGGACTGTGCAGTTGGTCTTGTTGACTCAGTCTTCTCATTATCAGGCCAAAGCAATGAGAGATTAGGAGTCTTTTATCTTCAGGTCTTTGGCCCCAGCACCACAGGGACCATACCATACATGTATCGACAGTAAAGCGAATTTGCTTTACTGCAGATTTCTGACAATAATCGCACCAAGGAAATCTGTAATTGTGACATCCCTAGAGTAGACATTACACAGTAAAGAAAGTCAAAGCAGATATCCAACCAAAATAGCCTCTCAACTTGTGTAATTTTGTACGTGAATGTCTGTGTGCCTATTATATGTACACTGTATACCAATGACCTAGAATTTAATACTATTTGGCCTTCCAAAGTGGGCTCTTTTCTCCTTTCCCCTCTTCGTCTCTACTTTTTGTTCCTCTTCTCTCCTTTTGTTTCCTTGCTTTCTTTTCCTTTCCTTTCCTTTCCAGAGGACAGGTCTTCTTATTTAAGATGGTCTTTGAAGCTTAGATGTTTCTTTTGCACCTTCCTATGGTCATTATGCTGCTCAACCATTACTGAACTGTCAGTGAACTATCACACGTTCACCCTGTGATGCACCGATGACCTGGTTCAGATTGTTTCTGGCTTCTTTCCCAAATTTGGGTTCAGCTACAAGTGCTCTCCTGATCCTTGAAGAATGCCTGTCAAAGCAAATGGCTTCAAAGATGTTGTACTGCAGTATATTCGGGCATGTCATTCTTCGAGTTTTTACAATTTCCTTCAGACCATATCTTTACAAAAACGTCTTTGTATGCAGTAGCTTCAGACGATCAGACAATCATGCTGACTATTCATCATATCTGCCTTTCATTACCTATTTACGTTTGTAATACCTCTAAAATTCAGTACTAGAAAAATATATATAAATAATATATGGCACATGCACAAAAGTGACTTTAACATAAATACTTTATTTAAACATGTATTTCAAGAATCTCAGATTTGATAGATGAATTTGACAGGGGAATTTGGACACATTTCTGCACATACATCGTTTTAAATATAAATGCATGACCAGATGAGACATTTCAATGAGGGACCTTGCAGCGAGTTGACAGGCATGTGCTGTGCACTAGGGGAAGGGGTTATCTGGAGTGTAGTTGAAGCTGGCGTCCAAGAACATGGCCAGGGTTCCCAGGGTGGTGATGATGATAAACAACCACAGAAACAGGCGGTCCACCACCAGAGCGATGAACTGCCAATCTCCTGTCAGCTGGAGGGAAAACACACACACAAAAGCACTTTGCGTTAGCACAGAGTCAGCATTGTGCTGTACAGTATGGGTGCAGTGACGCGTGAACATTAGTGGGGCATGTGTGAAGCACTGCATTCAGGGAGAGAAGACAGGGCGGGATAACAAGGTGGCCTGACTGCGTGGATTGTATCTTGCCGTGTCATGCACGTTTCTCACCGTGTCGTCTGTGTCTTGCTTCCTAAGCTGCTCGGCCATGTATGTCACGGCAGCGATGGCTGACTTCAGGTTAGGAGGGAGGATCAGACAATAGCTGTCCGTGTTAGAGAGTCGTTGGAGGTGTACTGTGCCTTCACATCTGGGTAAAAATGCATGATATGGAGAGCTACATTAACAGAGTTATATAAGAAATATCTATATTTGTTCCGCTAGAAAATGTACAACATTTTATACATTTTTAGTGGTCTATAAAAGAGTTACTAAGACTTTTCCAACTTTTAGTAGTTTTCAGTTCAAAGTCCAGTTAAAAAGGTTCATGTTGACCGTTTCCGTAGGCCACCTGAATATACGTATGTATGCAAAACTCAAGTCAAAAAATGTGAAAAAAAAAAACTAATTTGTCTTGCAACTGGCCGCCTGCCCGTCCTGGGTGAGAATCCCCTGAGGTTTCGCCGTTTTTGGGAGTTGTTCCTCAGCCAATGCAAGGGTCAATAAGGGGAGCGGGTGTCCACCGTTGTTGCATATTATTATTATAAACCATTGAACCATTGTAAAGCACATTGAGTTTGCTTTGTGCATGAAATGTGCTCTATAAATAAATTGATTGATTGATGTGTAACTGTTGTGCAGCTAAGGCACGACAGTGGATATGGAGTCAAATCAACGCTCACATAATGTATTCATTGTAGAACATTCTATAGTTGAGAGAGCCAGTGTTTCACCCATGCATCAACATGCATAATGCATAGTCTGCCCTCTAGCCACTGGCGTGCAGAACTGCAAGAGGCCCTTTCCTGCAGCCCTTTTTTTTTTAACTCTGACTGACAGCAGCACGCTCCAACAACATTGTGGTGACATTGTCAAAACATGTATGTGATGCCATGACCTCTGACCCCTTTACTCTCACAGCTGTTGCGTGCAGCACACGGGCAGAAGTGAGGCTACTCACAACAGCATTCCTTTCGCTCTTTGCACACATGCTTCGGATAAACTACAATTTAAAGTGGGTTATAAGAAGGAGATGTCAAGTCAGTGATATTCACACCAAGCAAAATTTACTTGGTTAAAGCAAACACTTAAATGGGGTGTGAAATATTTGCTACAGATAACAATCCCTCCTGCTGGCGCCTGTTCACCCTTTTAAATTTGTCCTGTTTAAAAATAGGTAATAATGTCCCCTATTTTTTTTTTTTTGGCTATTTAAAGAACTCTATTAAATGTTATTTTCTAAAATCATGTATGCTTTTGCCTTTCCAGATTAGCTCTTTTAAATTTATGTTATAAATTCCAAGTGGAATCTATTCAAGTTTTAAACAAGCCAGCCGAGAATTGCACCCCAGTGGATCTAATGGAGCTAATGCCATCAGAAACAAAAGTACGTTGTACAGTGATGACGCATAAGAATCACTTAATCCTGTAAAGGACATATGTCAAACACAAAGTCCGTGGGCTAAATGTGGCTCGCCTCATTGTAGCCCATTAGAGCTTATTACGCATATGGTCTAAAATAAACGTAAACCTAAACTTAAAGAGTCTATACTTGGTATGGTATAGGCTATCCTAGGCTTCCTATGTTGGGCCTGGAACTTAGACTGTGTTTTAAGTTTTGGCCCCTTGAATAGTTGAGTTTGACATCCCTGGTCAATGTAGGTAGGAGCGTCGGTAAAGACAATCGCAGCAGACACTGTAAATAAACCAACCATTCACACTCACCTTCACACCTGCAGACGGAAACAACACTCCCCAGAGATGACCCACAAATACACAACAAGAACATCCCAACTGTACACAGCATGTCCATGATCCATTTATTTACCTTGTTCTTAATTTCGAGTCTCAGTTGAATCAATTCGCTCCATGAATCATTTTACGACTCTTGTTGAAAATCAGTAGGTGTACGCTGTATCTACGGCATGCCATAGTTTCCAGAGTACACACAGTGCATATGTATGTGTCACCTTCAAAAGTACAGCTGGACACCTGTCACTTTGACCCCTTTCGCCTTCAGTACATTTAAGGATCACATATGTGGTGCACACTGCAAAGGTATACCAATGTTTATTATGTGCAAAAGTTCGGTCTCAGGGAAGGTGTTGGAGAAGAAGAATGAGAGAACGAGAGAGAGAGAGAGAGAGAGATGACGTGACAGCAGATGGCCTGCAGTACAATACAAACAGGTGATCATGAGCCTGTGTGTCGTTGTGTGTGCTGTGTGTGCAGACAAGTCACAACAAAACTATGTGCTGCTCTTCTAGCTGGATGCCATCTGCATTCTACAGCTTGTGTTCATTACCACAAAGACTCACGATGACCCTCCCTAAATACACACACACACACTGACAGGGCGTATAAATGAACTTGGCATATTTTATTCCGACAGTAACCTCAGACTCGCATATTGATGGCACAGCATGTAACTCAAACCTACTCTGACAAAACCTTTTCAAGAGAAATGTCAGAGTGAAAGCAAATGTCAGAAGTATCTGGGCCACGCCCAGCCCATCAACCATATCATTAACACCAAGAATGATAGATCACTCAACAAGGGTCTTCCCATCCCCTTATCTCACCCTAACCATTCCCCCCCTCACCCTCTTCACCTCCCTGTTGGCTCACCCCCTAACGCCCAACCTAAACAGAGGCTTAGTGAGTGGCGTCTGGCGTGGAGGGCTCAGCTGGAGCTGAATCTGAGGCTTTTGGAATTGGAATGACATGAAAGATGCCTAGCTGCAGGTTGGTTCTAATGACCGGACAGCAGGCAAATCGTGTATTACAGTACATTAACCACGATAAGGTAGGGTGTGTTTGCGCAGGCAGCCATAACGACGATGGTAATAATCTAAAATATGATTTCAAACTGATGACACGCTGTCATAGTTGGAATAAACTGTATTGTATGAGATACCCTAGGTTGAGCGTTGTACACGCCAATACTCACTGATGAGTGATGCAACGGCTGCAGTCCAGCACGCTGAGTACTTTACTATAATAGTCGTTCTTGCCACCGATCCAACATTCACACTTAGGCACAAGGTACAAAGAAGATTCATGGCTGCGCCGGCTTTTATCACTGTTAATAGAAACACCTCCCCTGGTGTAAAACGGGGATCAGCACATCTTAGCTGGGTAAGCAGCTGAATCAGGATGGACCAGACCCACGGTCATTACTTCATGTCTCTGGTGTGGACATTTAATAGAAACAATAATTTTTTGACAGTTTGTATTTGTCGTCAGTGTGAGTTTTTTCCTCCTTGAATCTCATCCAGTGGAAATTTAATTTCTGTGCCAATATTGGAGTTTTATTAATCAATAAATTGACAGATTAGATGAATATAGAAATAACCAGTGAGCATAAAAAGGCAATGGTTGTGTTTCTAAGGTAACCACAGAGGGTCCCTGTCATACGGTGTTTGTGGTTGCCTGGCCATCTACCATAAATTTATTAGGAATGTCCTGTTCCATCATGTTGTCTGACATACAACATTTAAACAAATATCACACAGGAACTAGTTGGTGAGTGAAGCAGACGAATACGTCGTCAACCAGAACTACACATGGAAGATGGCTTTGTTTGCATTAGTCTTTCTTTGGTTTGGGTTGTTGTCTTAGGAACTTTTCATTATGGCTCCCAGGTGTAAGTCAGACTCTTGATGTTTTTTATGTCCTTCATTATGATGGTACTGTGTTATAGCATAGGCGAGTGACATAGTTACTTATGTACGGTATGTGAGTTCCCACTTTCGATTGAAATGGGGCAGTGGTGGCTTACTGGTTAAGGAAGCAGACTTGGGTCCGGAAGGCTTCAGGTTTGAGTTTGCCAAGTTACCACTGAGGTGCTCTGAGCATGGCATGGCAGCGTCCCCACACACTGCTCCCCAGGCGCTTAAAGCTGCCCACTGTTCACTTTGGTGATGAGTTAAAAGCAGAGGTCACATTTGGTTGGGTGCAGTGGTGTGCTGTTTCCTTAAAGTTTCCTTAAAACTTTCCTTAAATTGAGTTATGCTGTAGGATGAGAATTACGACCTAAGTTGAGAACCCCCCGGATTTGTATATGATCCAGAAGTAGAGAGACAAATAGAGATACAAAACAACCCCCCGGATTTATGATCTAGAAGTAGACAGACAAATAGAGATACAAAACAACCCCCCTTGTGTAGTGTCCACTCCAGTGTACATACCTGTCTCTCCAGGGTGTGACCAGATCTGGGTTGATTTTACGGATGAAATACTCTCCTCCAGGTTGCCTTCCATTAAAGCTATGTATAGGCGTGTCCTCATCGGATTCTTTCCTCTCCACCTCCTCCTCGGGCTTCGGCCTCATCATGCCAATGTACTTAGGCAGGATATGGATGAAAGCCTGGGCATTTTTTTTTTCAGAAAAAGTTAACATTCATATTGTCCCAAGTACCAGAAGAGCACAAACTGAAGCTAGATAGATCAAGACCAATCTTGTCTCACCGTTCGGACCCAGTTGGGCATGATGTGTGTGCTGGGCGTACGGTGGTGCAGATTGAGGACGACCACGCTCAGGATGACAGAGAAGGTGATCAGGATCATGGTGAACATGACATAGTTGACAATAATTGGGATGCCCAGGGAAGTCTCAGGGACTTTGTCAGCCAGCAGCAGCATGAACACAGTCTGAGCGATGAGGACAGAAATTGAGAGAGTCATCTTCTCTCCTGCAGAGACGACAGGCATGACTTAGAGAATTAGTCGTGACAGCCAGGCAGCAAACATCACTCTGACTGCGTCAGTCACAGGTGGAAAACAGCAAACCTGACTTTTTGTTGTAGGAAAACATGCAGTTGGGAAGGTTTTTTTTGTTTTTTTCTTATTGTACAAATGACCAGCCAGTATTTTCTTTGTTTTCTCAATAATTAAATGACATGTCACCAGATATATGTATAAAAACACACACAATTTGAATGATTGAATTCAAATGAATGTGGTTCCATGATGTTTAAATGAAAAGCTAGTAACATACTATAAACCAAAAGATAGCTGGATCCTTTATATGCTGGTTAAAAAGTCCTGATCTGAATGACTGCTTTCTGTGTCTCTGCCTTTTTATGGTAATTAGCCAATGGTGACTTCTGCAGGGCATGACCTAAGGAGAGTTTGAGGTGACAACCAGTTGAGGAGTGAGAGCAATATGTTTGAGAACGGCTGGGTCATTATGATATATTGAGTCATTAGGATATATTGATGTATTATCATACGCAATATAGTGGAAGGAGGCAGATGTTCTGCTGTGAAGGAGATTGTGCTGTTCTACCAGGACTGCTGACTCAGCAGTTCCAGTGTAACAAAATGCTTTTTTTGGACTAATGTAAAGCAACTCCGTGTTTATTAAGTCGCACTGACATGTTTCTGCCACATTATTATGAAGCCCAAAATTCAACTTTCATCAACACTCCTTTTACTTAAGTGACAGCCCTGTCATGCAACACCCTCCACATTAGAACCTATTTCCCTTTGTGCGAC